TTATCAAGAATAGGTCCTCTACTGGGGTTCCTTAGCGTCCAACTCTTGATTTCAGCTCAGGTCATGATCTCAAGATTGTGGGATCAAGCCCCACATCAGGCTCTGCACCATTGTTTCCTTGTTGATTTTCTGCTTAGATGATCGTGTCCATTGCTGTAAGTGGGGTGTTAAGGCCCCCTATTACCGTATTATCAATTAGTTTATGTTGTTACTAATGGATTTATATATTTGGGTGCTTACAAGTTGGGAGCATAAATATTTTTAATTGTTAGATCTTCTTGTTGGATAGACTTCTTTATTATGACATAATGCCCATTTTCATCTCATATTATAGTCTTTTGTTTAAAATATAGTTTGTCTGATATAAGTCTTTTGTTTAAAATATAGTTTGGGGATCCCTGGGTGGCGCAGCGGTTTGGCGCCTGCCTTTGGCCCAGGGCGCGATCCTGGAGACCCGGGATCGAGTCCCACGTCAGGCTCCCGGTGCATGGAGCCTGCTTCTCCCTCTGCCTGTGTCTCTGCCTCTCTCTCTCTCTCTCTCTATCATAAATAAATAAAAATTTTAAAAAAAAATATATAGTTTGGCTACTCCAGCTTTCTTTTGACATTAGCATGATAAATAGTTCTCTATCCCCTCACTTTCAATCTACAGGTAGGTAACTTTAGGTCTAAAATGAGTCTCTTGTAGCCAGCATATAGATGGATCTTGTTTATTTGTTTTTTATCCACTCTGACACTCTATATCTTTTGATTGGAGCATATAGTCCAGTCACATTCAGAGTAATTATTGATAGATATGAATATGAATTTGGTGTCATTGTATTACCTATAAAGTCACTGTTCCTACAGATTGTCTCTGCTACTTTCTGGTCTTTGTTACTTTTGATCTTTCTTTCCCACTCAAAGAGTCCCCTTCAATATTTCTTGCAGAACTGGTTAGTGGTCATGAACTCCTTTAGTTTTGTCTTGGCAATTCATTATCTCCCATTCTGTTCTGAATGACAGCCTTGCTAGATAGAATATTCTTGGCAGCATATTTTTCCCCTTTCAGCTTGTTGAATTGGTCATGGCACTCCTGTCTGGCCTGCCAAGTTTCTGTGGAGAGATCTGCTAACCTTATTTGTCTTCCTTTGTACATTAGGGCTTTCTTTTCCTTTGCTGCTTTCAGGATTCTTTATCTCCGTATTTTGCAAATTTTACTATGATAGGTCTTGGTGTTGGCCTGCTTTTGTTGATTTTGATTGGAGTTCTCTATGCCTTCTGGATTTGGATGTCTGCTTCCTTCCCCAGATTAAGGAAGTTCTCAGCTATAATTTACTCAAATAGACCTTCTGCCCCTTTTCTTCTCTTCTTTTGGGACTCCAATGATACAGATATTATTACACTTTATGGAGTTGTTGAGTTACGTAAATCTACATTTGTGAACCAATATTTTTCTTCCCTTCTTCTTTTCAGCTTCATTGTTTTCCATAATTTTATCTACTACATCATTTATTCATTCTTCTGCTTCTGGCATCCTTGTGGTCATTACACCCGGCCGGTTTTGCATCTTGGTTATAGCATTTTTTATTTCAGTCTGACTAGTTTTTATATGTCTTCTATCTCTGTAGTAAGGGACTTCCGGGTGTCTTCTATGCTTTGCTCAAACCCAGCCAGTATACTTATATTGTTTTATTTTTTTTCATAATTATTGTTTTAAATTCTGGTTCAGGCATATTACTTATAACCGATTTGATTAGATCCCTGCCCATGACCTCTTCTTCCTGCTTTTGGGGTGAATTCATCCATCTTGGCATTTTGTCTCTGTCTTTGGTGTGTTATAAAAACTAGTAACGTTTCCTGCTCCTGAGAGTAATGGCTATATTAAGAAGAGGTCCTATACCATCCAAGGCCTGGTCCTTCATGAAGTGTTTCTGTTGTATGCTGTGTGTACTCTGCTATTGTGTTTTGGCTGCTCTTTCCCTCAGGTTAGTTCTCTGCAGAGTCTCTCCCCTCCTGCAGTGGGGAGTATCTGGACCTTGCCCAGTGTGTGGCAAGTTTTAGCTAGGTGTGTTTTGGTCTGCTTGTCAAAAAAGGCTAGGTCTGGGGCACCTGGGTGGCTCAGCTGGTTAAACATCTGACTCTTGGTTTCAGCTAGGGTCATGATCTCAGTGTCAGGAGATTGAGCCCCATGTCAGGCTCTGCACCCAGCATGAAATCTGCTTGAGATTCTCCCTCCTTCCCTCTGCCCCTCCCTGTGTATGCTCTGAGAGGAAGAATGAACAAATGAATGAAAGAAAGAGGCTAGGTTCTATGTCCCCAGAGCTTAAACTCTGCACACTCTATGGTCAGTAGTCTTAGTGAGTGCAGAGGGTTTGTGCTGGTCTTCTGGGGGTAAGGAGCTGCTGCTGCTCTCTCAGTCACACTTGCCCTAGTTCAGAAGCACCTGCAGAGCACAGACAGGTGGGGCTTGGTTTAAGTGGCTCAAGCCTCCACTGTGGGATACGATGTTGCTCACTGAAGTCCGTCTTTACTGATGGGGAGTGCAGAATGGCATTACCTTGCTCTCTTGACCCCAGAGAGGGGTGTTCATGCCCCTACTGTTCAAGAAGCCCTCAGAAGAGCGAACAATCTCCCCTCCTGTGTTTCTGTCAGATCCTTGCCTTCACCCTGTCTGACCTATGGGCCCACCTGGGGGTGCGGTGCTCCTGTGTTTTTATCTCAGGCATACCAGCTGAGTTTCAAATTTCCAAATTTTAGGGACCTGGCACAGCACAGAGTCACACTGATCCTCTGTGGGAGGGTCTTGCTGCACCGTGGCCACGCTGCCAGTTTATCCCAGAAGGACAGTTGCACAAACACGCACAGACTTGGAGTTTACAGTCAACAGAAAGCTGGGGTCCAGTTAGCTGCCCTCAGCAGCTGCCTCTATTTGTATGCTAATGAACAGGGCAGCCAATGACCCTCGGGAGAGTCAGCCCATCCTTTGAATCTAGGCATTGACTTTCCCTTTCTAGCTATTAAAGTCCTACATGGCATCTTCTTCCAGTACAAGGTTATCATGTCTACACTGAAAATCTATTGTTTAGTGTAACCACCTTCACTAATTTATTCTAGCTAGATCTTTTGGATAACTTGCTGGAGCTTCAGCACTTGCTACTTCATCTTGCACTTTTATGTTATGAAGATGACTTCTTTCCTTAAACCTCAGAACCAACCTCTGCTTAGCTTCGTACTTTTCCTCTGCAGCTTCCTCGCCTTTCCCAGCCTTCAAAGAATTGAAGAATCAGGGGCTTGCTCTGGACTAGGTTTTGGCTTAAGGGATGTTGTGGCTGCTCTGATCTTCCATCCCAACTACTAAAACTTTCTTCATACCAGCAATGAGGCTGTTTCATGTTCTTATCCCTCGTGTGTTCACTGGACCAGCACTTTTAATTACTTTCAAGAACTTTTCCTTTGTATTCACAACTTGGCTGTTTGTTGCAAGAAGTCTAGCTCTTGGCCTATCTCAGCTTTCAACATGCTTTCTTCATTAAACTTAATTATTTTTAGCTTTTGAGTTAAAGTGACAGATATGTGACTCCTTCACTTGAACACTTAGAGGCCATCGTGGAGTTAATTGTCTAATTTCAATACTGTTGTGTCTCAGGGAATATGGAGGCCCAAGGAAAAGAGAGAAATGGGGGAACAGCCAGTTGGTGGTAGAGTCAAAAACCACATATTTATTGATGAAGTTCAGCATCTAATATGGGCATGGTTTGTGGTGCCCCAAAGCAATTACAATAGTAACATCAAAGATCACTGGTCATAAATCGCTATAACAAATATAAAGACAATGAAAAGGTTTAAGATATTATAAGAATTATCAAAACGTCAAAGAGACATGAGGTGAGCAAATGCTGTTAGAAAATAATGCAAACAGATTTGCCCAATGTGTGGTTGTTGGAAGTCTTCAATTTGTATAAAATGCAGTATCTGCAAAGTATAATAAAACAAAGTGCAATAAAACTAGGTATGCCTATATTAACTTTCAGTTATGAAGTAAATAAGGCCTGAGGAGCTAAGGTAATATCATTCTAACTATAGTTGACAACATTGCATTACAGAACTGAAATTTGCTAAGATAGTAGAACTTCTCTGTCTCAAAAAACAAAAAAAAAAAGTATATCAGGTGTTGAACTGTGTTAACTAAGTAACAGGAATCCTTTCACTATGTATATGTATATGTATATTAAATCATCACACCATATACATTAAATGTCTTACAACTTTGTCAATTATACCTCAATAAAGTTGAGAAAAACAGAAAAAAATGAGAAACTATTGGAATTCTCCAAATATTAAAAAAGTTCATTTCCCAACTACTTCACCATACATAAATTTGTTTTCAAAAAAATTCATCTCCTTACTTTTTTTTTCCAGTGCAACAGCAACCATTCAATCAAAAGACATTTATGTAAAAATATTTGTTCTTGCAAACAGATTAAAAGAGCACCCTGCTAGCTGCCACTGGGTAGAGGAGAGAAAAAATAGCTAACAAGCATTAACTTATCTACTGATACCTATCTGCCTTTCTAGGTTTGGTTCTCTAAATTCTAGCCAAGACTACAAGAAAAATGATCCCCTAATGTATATGATTAGACACCAAAAATAAAAACTGTGTAGAGGCCTAATCCTTCTTCCTCTGAACCAAACCTGAAACTTGAAAGAGAAAGAATATAAATGCAATACCACTTGTAGTATCACTTAATATTATCTCATTTTTATTCCTTTTTCATTCTTATAAACACACATAAAACCTCAAAACCTCAAAGCCTCTATGAAAACACCCTAATTAATTATTTTTGAGAATTAAGGGAATCACCTGAAGGAAAAAAAATTGGTGTTTTTTGCAGATTATAATCAACACTGTCATTAACTTTGTTACTTGGTGATTCTTTAATAGATGAAGAAATATGAAAATAGTTTTAATTTACAATGAGAATTTTCATTTGTATGCAATAAAGAATTCAGGTACTTACCTCTAAAATGGCATTTTTTGCCTTATATGTAGCAAAATATGGTTGCTCCAAAAGCCACAATGATGTAAGAATGGCAGCTGTAGTGGTCTTTACACGAATGACGGGACTATACTCACTGGATAACTCAGTGAGACTAGGATCACAGAGCAGTCTTCTATCAGACCACCTTACCATCCATTCCAGCAGCCTTCTTATACTGCCAAAAGTGTCATTTAGTGCTAGAGGAAGATCTTCTTGAGGATTAATATCACTGCACTGAATTGCTTTGAAAATACATCTTCTAGTTTTGTTGGATTTGGGAGTCCAAAAAATATGGTTTGACAATCTCTGGATCACAGGTTTCTCCGAATTGGCATCTTGTATTCTGTAAACTGACTTTTGTTTTAAACCGAACAATCCACTCGTCCCTTCATATTTATCAACTTCATTCAAAGGGTTCTCTAAAACTGGCCTGGTTCCCTGATTAACTGGCACTGCAGCTGAAAGTGCTTGGTTTTCTGCTTTTTCAGACTCATATGACTCAGAAGCAACAACAAAGCAGGAGCCAGCTCTAAATATATTCTGGCTTTTGGTTTTGCCTTGACGTCGTTTTAATGTTGTATGTACATCAAAAAGTAAAGAATTAAGCTCATGTTCTTTAAGATGTCCAGAAAAACTGGTTAGAAATGGAATGCCGGGATCCTTGGAATCAAGTAGGTCTCTTTCAAGAACGTAACTCAAGAAGAGATCAAGAAATTTAATATATTCATCATCATCACGTTCAAATTCCCAAACACCTACTACAGGAAGCGCATTTTGTAATAACTTTTCATGATCTTTTCTTTCAAGATTTTCTTTCTGATTACAAATCTTTTTTTCATTGGACTTATTTGTCAATGTTAATTCCATGTGATTTGGGGTATTTCTAGCAAAACAAAATTGAAAAAGACAAAATTAAAGATTTAATCACTAAGATGCAGAATTGACAGCAAAGATTCTCTCCACTGATTGAATCATATAAATTTTTTTTAAATGCCTCAATGTCTTTCAAATGAGGGGGTTAGGCTAAATGATATCTAACTGTTTACTAGAGCCAAACATTCTAAGTCAAAATATATAACACATTAATATTAAGAGGGAGAAGTTTGTGTTAAAAAAGACTGAAATGTGTTCACAGAAATTTCGCTTTAAAAAACATGAATGGGGGGATCCCTGGGTGGCTCAGCAGTTTAGCGCCTGCCTTTGGCCCAGGGCGTGATCCTGGAGTCCCAGGATCGAGTCCCGCCTCAGGCTCCCGGCATGGAGCCTGCTTCTCCCTCTGCCTGTGTCTCTGCCTCTCTCTCTCTCTCATAAATAAATAAATAAATAAATAAATAAATAAATAAATCTTTAAATAAAATAAAATAAAATAAAAAACATGAATGGGGACACCTGGGTGGCGCAGTGAGTAATTGTCTGCCTTCGGCCAAGGGAGTGATGCTGGAGTCCCGGGATTAAGTCCTACACCAGATTCCTGCCCAGGGAGCCTGCTTCTCCCTCTGCCTATGTCTCTGCCTCTCTGTGTCTATCAAGAACAAATAAATAAAATCTTAAAAAAATAAATAAAAATAAAAAGCATGAATGTTTTTCCTGGGGGGAAAAAAAGGTCACTAAGAGGTCACAATTTAGGAATACAAAGTCAATAAAAATCACAAGTCACCAACATACATCTTCATTTATGGTTTCTGGTTACTTGCATTGGCCCCTCTCAGCTTTCACTATACAATGTGCAACAAGCAGAACTACCCTCAAGATTCTACTACACAGAAGTTGGGAATTTTTTCTAAAATTTCTGCTGCTACTATATCTGTTAGGCAAACCCTTTAACTGTCAATCATAATTACTTTTAAATCAATTTCCTTTCAACATGGTCCTTAGGGAAGAACACAGATTCCTAGTTCCCTCAATAAAAGAAATAAAGTGTTTGTGTCAGGCCCCGGAACTAAAAGTGTCATGTCTCTTCTTATTAAGAAGGCACAGAAGCAGCCTCCACTGTATTCCTGTGCTAACACCAAAATTGTTTGGTGAAACAAGCACATCATTTATAATACTATTAGGTATGGTTTAAGCAGATGTTTACATTTGAAGTAGATAAAATTATTTCACTGAAACAAGATTATGGTCCATTATATAGCCTTTCAGTCATGACAAGGATAAACTGCATGGCAGATAATGGAATTAGAAAGAAAAAAAAAAAACTAGCTAGAGTAATAGAAGTTTAAGTGAAAGTAAGAATTTCTAGAAAATTTACAGACAAGTTTCAAAGATGAATGTGCAATTTCCTTCCCTGGAAACCCTTAAAAATAATACAGCTAATCTAAAAGTCCTTAATTATTTAAATCTAAAGATTACTTTTTAAAAAACTAAAATGGGGTACCTGGGTGGCTCAGTTGGTTAAGTGTCTGCCTTCAGCTCAGGTCATGATCCCAGGGATCGGCAGGAAGTCTGCCTCTCCTCCTTCTCCCTCTCCCTCTGCCCCTCCTCCCTGCTTGCGCTCTCTCTCTCTCTCTCTCAAAAAAATAAAATCTTTAAAAAACAAAAACAAAAAACCTAAAACTAAAAGCTTTAGAATTTCATCTCTAGATGAACTCTAGAATTTCATCTACTTACCTGATTTTATACTATCAGGTAGCAAAATTATTTCAGGCCTCAAGAATATTTTCAATACATTTTCAAATTCATTCTACCCTCCTAACATCCCTGTGAGTCAGGGAGGATAACACATCATTAATACTGCGAACAGTGCAATCAGTGAGGGGCAAGGAAATCAGCTCCTCTGCTGCATGAACATACCGAAAATATTTTTTTCCAAAGGAAGTGAATACTTGCTATTAAGAGATCTCAACCGTACCTTTTTTCTTCAACGGACCATGCTTCCGAGAAGGTGTCTGCTGTATCTGCATCGCTGTGGACTGGAGGATTCCCCAGTTCGGTGAGTGTGCTCCTGCTCAAGCTCAGTCCTAGAGAAAACCTATCAAAACCTGGAGCCTCGGCTTTTTCTTCTTCAATTGGTTCCCAGATATTCATCTCAAAAGGACCTATATTCCTCTCCACACGTTTTAGGGCTTTCACTCTCACTTTATGAATAGAATGCATAATAACAGACATCATTTCCTCAGTTTGGGGACCTAAAAAACAAAAGGCCTTGCAGTAAATTAAAATGTTTCAACTCAAGACAAAGGGGAACCCAAGTCCAGTCCCTCCTGGGAACATGGAATCCAACTGACGACTAAGACTTATTTCCACATTCTTACAGAGCATGCTTTCTTCAGTGTTTATTAGAAAGCTATGGTCCGCATTTTAAGGTAGAACTGCAGAAAAGAACAATAAAGGGACAGAATCCAGACCATAAAAACGTGTGCCCTAGAAAACAAACAACTGAGACGTAATTTATCTATTTCAGGGCACCTGGGTGGCTCAGTCGGTTATGCATCTGGCTCTTGATTTGGCTCAGGTTGTGATCTTGGGGTCTTGGGATGGAGCCCCATGTCAGGCTCCGTGCTGGGCATGGAGCCAGCTTGGGATTCTCTCCCTCTCCCTCTAGCTCTCTCTTTATGCTCACTCACTCTCTCTCAAGTAAATAAATAAATCTTAAAAAAAATAAAAAAGAAGCAGCAATTTAACTATTTAAAAAATCAGACAATTAAAAAAGAATCCCTATTATTTTTCCATTCCCAAGAGTGGTAAATAAGAGAAAATGAGTATAATTTTAGCCAAAGAAACAAGGACACTTTTCTGACTTAAAATAATGGGAAACATGAAGAAGGAAAGTTTTTCAAGGTTGTCTACAGAAAAAAATTTTAAACATTATTATACATAAACAGGACATTTTAGAGAATGTCAAAAAAGTCTTAAGAAAAATAAAAGCCATATATATATATCAATGCAAGAATGTATAATCATAGGACATAACTTGACTTAAATACTAGATTGCAGTTATAAAAAAAGAAGGTAATTTGAATTCTTTAAAAGTTTCCACATTGTGATTGTAGTTAATGTCACTGAATTGAACACTTGAAAATAGTAAATTTTCTATTATGCATATTTTAACAAGAAAAAATTCCACAAAGGCATCTTGAATGTATAGGATAAAATTAGAAGCACAAATAACCATAAAGGAAGATGAAGAACACTAGTTCTCAATAAAATATCCATATTACACAAAGTGCTATATGCTCATTTTATATATTTTATCTTATTTAATATTCTGTGTGTAAGAGAAAGAGAGAGAGCACGTGGAAGGAGGGGCAGAGAGGAAGAGAAAGAATCCTAAACAGTCTCCATGCCCAGCGAGGAGTCCAACATGGGGCTCAATCTCACAACCCTAAGATCATGACCTGAGCCGAAATTAAGAGTCCACTAATTAACTGAGTCACCTAGGTGCCCCTTAATCCTCTTTTAATTTACATTCATAAGGTAGATATTAATATACTCATTTTACAAATATGGAAATGAGACCCAGAGAGATTGAGCAACTTGCCTACCGTCACACAATTATTAACTGACAGAGGCATGACATGAAGTTAGCTTTGTCTGGTTCCAAAGCAAAATTGGTGCTTATTTCTGCCTTCTCATACTATCTTCAAAGAAAGGAGAAATATGTAAAAATATAAGCACTAGAAATTACATGCTTTCAAAAGAAAACAAGAATCTTCAGTAATTCATCTATCAGATATCTAAGAAATGACAAATACTACCTTTCACCACACAGTGTCTGAGTCTCTGCTGAAGAGAGTGATATTTTTCTCTTAAAGGAACCCTTATATCCTCAGGATTGGGAAACGCTTTCACAAAAATTTCTGCTACCTTCAGAAAAAGTAAAAACACGGGTTTTATGAGCAATATCACTCTCAATTAAAACAAAAATCCTTTTAAAGTCTCTGATTTTCATTTAGTTTGTTTTCACCTACATTCACATTACCTTTCTGATTGGTGGCAGTTCTCCAATAAGGCTCAAAATTAGATCTTGAATAAGTTCTTCAATATTAGAAAACCGAGAGAAGGGCAGCATTCTGTACGCCCACTCCACTGCGCTGAGACAGTGCTCAACCATACAGGAATCAAACTCCACTTCGAGGTCCTAAAAGGATATTGAGAAAAACGTTTCCTTTTCACTTTAGATGGATAGATAAGGATGAGTTCAAAAGAGTTTGTTATAGACAGTAAAATCTTCTAATCAAGCAATAACTTCCCAAGTAACATTTGTTCGTCTTTCTTATTCCTGTGCAGAGAAATACCTTTTTTCCCTCCACATTTTCTCTTGCTTTCTGATATTGTCTGCAATTATAGGATAACTTATCACGAATATGTAGCATCCAACACAAAGCACAAAGTTCTCTGAAGCAACCTAAATTGGGAATACAAATATGAGAGATTGGGTGAGTATGTACATTAATGTAGAACAACTTCACCACTGCTTGTTTTTTTTTTTTTGCCAAAATAAATGTCTCTATTTTGTTGATTATAAGAGAAACATATATTCATTGCCAACACATTATATAAAAGTTGTGTAAACCCTTACAGAATTTTTATGCACAAATATTGTATGCATGGCAGTTGCCTAAAAATATTGAAAACATTTTTCTAAATAACTTACTCTATTTACCAGTAGTTTCTTTGCTTTAAGCTTCATAGTATTTTGTTGATAATGCTCAAAACCAATATACACAGCTCTACTTAATACTGTAGGGTTAATTTATTAGGAAAATTCCTTATGATAGGCAACTAAGTTTAAAACTTTGCAATACTAGAAATAATACTTTCCATTATTAAATGATTTTTTAATTAAAAGCAATAAAAGTACACAAAGATATATATGATCATACTATGTATGCTGTGGTGAAACAGGTCTTTTTTTTTTCATTTAATATATCCTGGATATCTTTCCATGGTGGTAATATATACATATACTGTCTTTTCATTGCCAGTGTAGTATTCCATTGCATAAAAAGTTCCCCAAATCAATTGTAAATTGTGTCATTATTAATATTTAGGCCTAATTTCTACACAAGCAGTTCATTTTGGACAAACCTATTGCTTTAACAGAAACTTCATCAAGCTTGTGGTCTCCAACTGCTCCAGGTCGAAAGAATGCTACACCTCCTTTACAGTAATTAAGTAATGATTGAGGGAAAGGACTCAATGAAGGAAGAGATCCTTTCATTCGAATCTGAAAGAATGATAAAATATGTTAATTATCAGTCATCTAAATCTATTTTTAAGGAAACTATAAAGGAACAAACAAGGCAGGTAAGAGAAACCATACAGAATAGAAAACACAGCATGGTTCTTATACCATGTAAGAAAATATCCCTGAAATGAGCCATAGTTTCAGAAACTTAACTCACAAATTTAATTCAAAAATTTCACTAGGCTAGGTCACAAAAGTGAAAAGAAAGTTTCAACGAAATTTTTTTCATCTCTCAGTTTTGCCTATATAGAAAGAATGTAATGCTATTTGTCCTGGCTTTCCCCAAAGGCATAATAAAGAAAAAGAGAAATTTAAGTATCTCTTATCCAAAGTAAAACTACATGCAGTACCTAAAAATAAATATGACAAAAGCTCTACCTACCTATATAACTTTAAAAAACTTGAGGGACAGGATTAGAAAGTCACCATTTGGCAACTCCTAATAAAGTACCAACTGCAGCAAGGATCAGCAATCAATGTCCAATTAGGTAAAAAGTTGCTGGGTTGATGGAGAATGTGAGTGGGTAAAACACAACCCAAACCCTTGAGTCTATCTCACCATCATAAAAAGTGAAATAATAAAAAGTCCTATCTGTCACATGAAATGATACAACAGGGAAGTACACAACACCATTTATGAAGGACTCATTTCTTTCTTTTTTTTTTTTTTTTTTTTTTTTAAGGACTCATTTCTAAGAAAATGTGAACCAGTGCAGCCCAGGTGGCTCAGCGGTTTAGCGCCGCCTTCAGCCCAAGGCGTGATCCTGGAGACCTGGGATCAAGTTCCACGTCGGGCTCCCTGCGTGGAGCCTACTTCTCCCTCTGCCTGTGTCTCTGTCTCTGCTCTCTCCTCTCTCTCCGTCTCTCTCTGTCTCTCTCTGTCTCTCATGAATAAATAAATAAAATCTTTAAAAAAAATGTGAACCTGATCAAGCCTCTCTACCTCAAAGAGTATAGAGTAATTACTAGTTCATGGGGAAATAAAAGGAAAGAGGAATGAGTTAAATGACACTAAATGGATACGCTATCAAACATACAGAATAAAAAATTACCAAGTTTCTCTACAAATCAAGAAGAGAAAAAAAAATTAAAGGAAACTACTATAGAATAAAAGAAAAGGAATCTAAGAGACAGTAACCTGAAAAAAAGGATTAGCAGCAGGCTTGTAATCTACTTTTTCCCTCTTCTATTCACTTCCACAATGACACAATCTCATCAAATCCCCTTGTAAGCATACTAATGACAGACCTGTTATCAAACAAATTAACAGTATGTACTAGATGTACAGAACCTAGCTAGGCTGGTTATTATAAACATAGGATACATGGATTTATGGAATATGGCTTGCTGGAAATGTCACACAAGTTATATAATTAAAGAGATCTAAAAAGGAGATGTTCAGTAACTGATTCAGTTCTCTTTTGTGTTAAACAGAGGCCAGGTCACATTCTTTCACAGCAAGAAAAACCTTGGGAGCAATATATGCAATCACAGTTTTCACCTGTGTCTTTTAGGTATATCCTTGAAATTATTGGTATAAAGTTTGAGTCAGACTTGATAATATAGTCCTTCCTATAATCTCATAACCAAACATGGGTGAACCTCATTTGGACCTTGATTCCAAAAAACCTACTATAAAAAAGACATTTTCAAAATAATCGGGGAAATGTTATTAGGACCAGGTATTAGATATTAATAAGGAATTAGTTAACTTTGGTATAATAATATGGTAGTTTTAAAATATGTCCACAAAGTCTTTAAAACTCGTCCCTTCAAAGGTAGAGCCTAACTTCCCTCACCTAGAGTATAGATCATACTAAGTAACTGGTTTCTAATTAACAGAATATAGAAGTGGTTATATTGATTTCTGAGATTAAGTCTTAAAACCATTGTAGCTTCCACCTTGCAGTCTTTTAGATCACTTGCTCAGGAAGCCTCTTGCCAACAATGAGCACCAACCTCTTAGCCATGTGCATGAGCAGTCTTGTAATCAGATCTCTGGTCCCTGTCAAGTGTTCAGATTCCTGTAGCAACAGTTCACATTTTGGCATGCAACTGCACGAGAAATGTGGCTTTTTGCTTTCATGAATAAAGACCTTATAATTTTGGTAGCAACAAGTGTTCCACCATCCCAACCAATTAGAAAACATCAATTTACTACAACTAAATTTGTAATTAAATTATATGCTCAATAAAGTCTAAATGAAGGAGGTAGAGAATACAGCAATAAAGGGAATCACTTATGAATTATACATATTTCTGTAAGAATGGATCTCTACATTTTTGGTACCTCTCCCAAATTCAATAAATTCATGGGCTATCAATAAAACTATCAGATAAATTTGAGGAATACTGAATTAGAGGGAATCTGTGGGTCACCTCTGTATATAGCCCAGGGATTGACAACAGCCTTAAAGATAAGCTGCAAGTCACATGGGGCACTGGACAATTACAGTGCCAATGAGTATACACACAAAAGCTCTGGTCTATGGCCTGTTCATCCTAGGAGGCATGTCTTCAGCTGTGTTGCTAAAGTCTTAACACAGTCTTAAGGCTAGCTGAGTTAATTAAAGCTAGATTAAGTGAGATTACTGCTAGGATTTGTACATAAGATCAAACTGCAATGCAAATCTCATTTCCAACTTTATTGTAGAAAACTGTTTACTTAACCAATTTTTAAAATGAAGTTTCCGGGACACCTGGGTGGCTGAGTGGTTGAGCGTCTGCCTTTGGCCCAGGGCCTGATCCTGCAGTCCCAGGATCTAGTCCCGCATGGGGCTTCCTGCGTGGAGCCTGCTTCTCTCTCTGCCTATGTTTCTGCCTCTCTCTGTGTGTCTCTTATGAATAAATAATTAAATTTTTTTAAATAAATAAATAAATAATAAAATAAAATGAAGTTTCCTGTAATAAACAGACTCAATAGATCTTGAAACTATTAAAACCAATCTTTCAATAAGAGAGGAAAACTCTTTGCCCTTCTTACTAGACATACTTTAAAAACAATTTTGGGATGACAAGATACAGAATGGGTATAGTTTAATGTTATATCTTTATGGTAGCTGTATGGAAATTTTACAAACCTTTCTTTTAAAAAGCCTAATTTTTAAAAATAATTTGGTGACTTCTCAAAGTCTCTCTAAAGGTTCCTACTAAGAAAAGTTGTAGATTCTTGTTTTAAATATAACCAAGGACTGGGCCACCTGGGTGGCTCAGCTGGTTAAGCATTCAACTCTTCATCTCAGCTTAGGTCTTGATCTCAGGGTCATGAGTTTAAGCTCTGTACTGTGCTCACAAGGGGCATAGAGCTTATTTAAAAACAAAAACAAACAAAAAAAAACAAAAACAAAAGAAAACATTTAAATATAACCAAGGGCCAAATTAAAGGTATTTGGGACTAATAATACTTATTTCCACATTTCAGAGAGACAGACAACAGGCCTACAAAGAACTTGCAGCTGGATAAGGAACATGAGCAGATGTCCCATTTGGCTACAGATCAGATAAGGATCCAATTACAACTCAGGTGAAGTCAGTGCAGAAGGGGATGACAGCTCCAGACTCAACTGAATCGCACATCTTAGAAGATAGCAAGGGGGAGACTCCAACTGGTGGAGATTACTGAAAGGAAACACACAGCCAAGAACTAACTCTAACGTCCCAGAGTATGACCCCACATCAGCCCCCATAGAACACAGATAATACCTCAGGATGAAGTGGGGGGAAATCCCTGAATTGACTTTACATCTTCAATAATGGTGGGAAAAAAAAAAAAGTAACTAAAATTACCTGGAATTAATTATGTTATGCTTTATAGTGCCAGACAGAATGGGAATAACAAAGAGACTCAGTACAGTGTCCTCTTTCAGCAGACCAGAAGAACTAGACTGATTAGGTTGCTTATTATAAACAAACCTGAAATCTATGGATTTATAGGGTAGGATTTCTTAGGAAAATATCAGTATTTATAAATATTAATAAGTATTAATATATTTAAATAGTTTAACATAGCACATGAGTGACTAAGACATTTTCATACCTTCTGCATGACTTTTCTCGCCCATCTCAACTGCAGTATGTACCACTGTGCCACAGGAAAAGAACACCGGGCTGCCCGGAAAAGCAAGAGGATACGTTGAAGGATTCCAGACACCTTTTGACGGTTTTCTTTCTCAGCTTTTAAAACAAGATCATCGCCATCTTCCTGAAGAAAACAAAACAACTGATTTTAGTAGCTAGTAATATGAAAATTTTGAGGGTTGAGGTGAAAACAAATATAGTGTTTCTCAAACTAAAATTTTCTTGGAGATTTATAAAAGAAATTTTGAGGAATGGCGTCAGAGATTTCAACTATAGCTATTTCTAGTGTCAAGGAAATATTTCTCTCATCTTAAACAATGTAAAGGGCTAAACTGACCCTAAACCCAAGTCTTCCCCTTTAACAGTTAAAGCCCACCACTCCTGCCTGACTGCATTGGTAGAATGTTACATAGAAGGCTCCTTTCAAGAATGTCATTTCCCTTCCTCTGCCTGGAAAAATCTTTGTATTTCAATGTCACCCTCCGTGAAGCCCTCCTGTTCTGTGTGATTATGACACTTTGCTTAGACTTCCAGGAGAGTTTTTACTAATTTGTTCTGTACTGATTTATGTTTCCCATTATATTGAGATCTACTCAAGAGCAAAGACCTTGTCATCTATCTTTGTATTATCACAGTGCATGGAATAATGTCCAACATGTAATAGGATCCGATAAATATTTGTTGAATAAATACTATCAAGTCAATAAGCCAAAAATTAATTTCTCAGAGAATGAGATAATGTATTATAAATATTTGCTTCCCCATCATCCTATTACCACTTCTTCATTGCCTTCAATTTTTAATTGAGTATCTGCCCCTCCCTGACCTTGCCTAGATAATTTAATGAGAGCTGATCCTACCTCCCCAGCTTCCAGGGAATGGACTGCCAAACAGAACCTTCCATTCTCCTGGGCCAAGAGTGAATCTCCATACCCTTACTTGAAATCCTGGTGAAAAATACTTCTGTTTTTCTTTCTCCCCTTCCTTCTCCCTCTAGATACAGACAAGGTATCCTTAGACCACCCTGCTCCCACAAAGACAGCCAGCCTTAAGCTGAAGCTAACATGTTAAAAAATAAACTAGAGAGGAAGAGCTCAAACCTATGCTAACATAACTGAGCCAGAAAGCTATCCTGCTACTAGGCTTCTTAATTATGCCAACCAATTTGGATCAAGTTTTCTATTATTTCCAATGCAAAGGATTCTAATTTTAATAAAAAATAATAAAATGAATCACTACTAAGGATCATAACCACTCAAACTAGTATCAGCACAGTATATTCCAAAAAATGCCTTAAATGCTGGTTCTTATTTCTAAACCAATACACTGAAGACTCAGATGTGACAGAAAAAATGAATCACTGAGAAATACAATGGACTATTTATTCCTCCCATGTATAACATATTACATTTGAAATATCAATAAAATATTTTTAAGCCATTGAAACATAACCTTAAATATAGTAAGAATATAAAAAACTCACACACAAAAAAAGAAAAAACCAAATACAGATAGAAGTTGCTAATACTAAAACATTAAGTAGTAAAAAAAACAATACCAGAATCACTTCAAAATATTAATCAAGGGGCGCCTGGGTGCCTCGGCGGTTGAGCATCTGCCTTTGACTCAGCGTGATCCCAGAATCCTGGGATCAAGTCCACATCAGGCTCTCTGCACAGAGCCTGTTTCTCCTTTCTCTGCCTGTGTCTCTGCCTCTCTCTCTCTGTCTTTCGTGAATAAATAAAATCTTTAAAATAAATAAATTAATAAAAATAAAATTACTAAAGTAAAAAATATTAATCAAATATTAAAATAATTTAAGTGTAAATAATTTGCATTAACGCTTTAACTCTTAAAGTCAGCTAACATAATGTTATGAGAGCAGAGAAGTTCCTGAGAGGAACATTGTATTGCTCTTTATAGCAGAACTATCAACTGAATAGTGAAGGAGAAAAAAATGATGTATCAAATTAAAAAAAAAAAAAAGTATTTCAAAAGAGGCAAAGACAGGGCCCCTGGGGGCACCTGGGTGGCTTAGTGGTTGAGCGTCTGGCTCAGGTCATGACCCCAGGTCCAGGGATCAAGTCCCGCATCAGGCTCCCCAGAGGGAGCTTGCTTCTCCCTCTGCCTACGTCCCTGCCTCTCTCTCTGTCTCTCTCATGAATAAATAAAATCTTAAAAAAAAAAAAAAGAGGCAAAGACAATGAGGTGAATAAAAGACTGAAATAATGTATGGCTTCTAAATTCTGATATTCATTTTTGCTACCCTAAACAAATGTCTATTTTTTAAAAATCTGGACATACAGTACTCTCTCTTGATTTTATTAGTGCCATAATTTTAACATTGATTGAGTGCTTATATGTGTCCTTGGCCCTGAGGTAAAACCTATTACAGGCTATCTCATTTAATCCTCACAATAATGCTATTACAGGTACTATCATCATCTACATTTCTCAGATAAGGAAACTTAAACAGGTCAGTGCATTGCCTAAGATGATACAACTAATAAACAGCAAAGCTGGGATTTGGAAGTTTGTCTTTAGGGCTTTCATTCTTAACTTGATTATTATCATTAAGTTGATTATCTTAAAATTCGTACAAAATCAAGTTTAAATTAATTAAAATATTAAACATTAAGCTTACTTCACTAAGAATAGCTGGCTGAGGACAATATAATGGAGGAGCTGGTAGGTACAAGCCGACTGGCACCAAGCCCCACAGTCTCTTACTGAAGTCCTTGGCAGAGGTGACCAGGAGCTGAAATGTCTCTGATAGAACATCTGCATCGGCCATAACTGCTGCTTTCAATACTTCTTGCACTGAACCAAATAGCAGATTTACATCTTCTTCTTCAATGGGATCTACCAAACACAAAATCAGGTAAATTAAAGTTTATATTATGCTGATCCTTTTCTGTAGTGTAAAATCTCCTATTTGAAAAAGTCAATCATCAAAAACATATTGGATGACATGCAAAACAGGCCAATTCCTAGGGAGAATTTAATAACTATTCTGCTACTTTTTTTTTTTTTTAGAGAGAGAAAATGCATGGGAATATGGAGGGGTGGGTGCAGAAGGGGTAGGAGGAGAGGGAGAGAGAATATCTTAAGCAGGCTCCATCCATACCCAGAGCAGAACCCAATGCAGGGCTCGAGCTCACAACCTTGAGATCATGACCTGAGCCAAAATCTAGAGTCAGATGCTTAACCGACTGAGCCACTCAGGCAACCCTCTTCTGCTACTTTAAGATTATAGGCAATTAGAGCATAAGACCTTTTCCAAAATTACATAAGATAGTGTAATGACAACTATATAACAAAAATATACTTGGAATAAGTCCTGCGTCAAAAAATAATACATGAAAAAATAATAAGAAAAAATGTCAAGAAAGACACGTAAATAATATACAACCTTATGTGAATGAAGGCAGTGGGAAAGTAATTTTTTTCTTTTTTTTATTAGTCCACCATAGTATTTTTTTTTTTTAAGATTTTATTTATTTACTCATGAGAAACCTACAGAGAGAAGCAGAAACATAGGCAGAGGGAGAAGCAGGCTCCCTACAGGGAGCCTGATGCAGGACTCAATCCCAGGACCCCAGGATTACAACCTGAGCCAAAGGCAGAGATGCTCAACCACTAAGCACCCAGGTACCCCGTACTTTTTTTTTTTTTTAAGAGAATGCATGCATACGAGCATGCACATGAGTGAGGGGGAGGCAAAGGAAGAAGGGAGAGATTCTTAGGCATGCTCCATGCCCAGCTCAGAGCCCAATGCCAGGCTGGATCTCACAACCCTGAGATGAAATCTAGTCAGACACTTAACCAACTGAGCCATCCAGGTGCCCCCACCATAGTATTTTTTAAATAAAGGTTAGTAAAAATGACATGTCATACAGCTAAAGAAAAACCAAACAAAATAGTCCTACTATCTGGATTCAACTATATAAATATCAGTATATATGTGGACATGTCCCAGAGGTAAAATACAAGGAGATGCAGGTGATAGAACTGGAGATTTAGGTTTTTTTGTTTTGTTTTGTTTTGTTTTTTATGATAGTCTCACACACACAGAGAGAGAGAGAGGCAGAGACATAGGCAGAGGGAGAAGCAGGCTCCATGCACTGGGAGCCCGATGTGGGATTCGATCCCAGGTCTCCAGGATCGCGCCCTGGGCCAAAGGCAGGCGCCAAACCGCTGCGCCACCCAGGGATCCCCGATTTAGGGGGTTTTATATTTAAAGCATCCTTTAACATATAGAATATAATATGAAAACACTCATGTATCAACTTTTCATCCTTGTCTGATATTAACATTTTGGTATATTCAGTTAATTTTTTTAATGTTACCGATACAGCAGAAATTTCTTATTGTGCCATTCATATTCTACTCACTCTCACCAGAGATAGCTATTAGCCACAATCTGGTATTGGAATTCCTATTACACAAATGTTATGGCCTCCTATTCTGTACTCTATAAAACTTGACCTCTTTCATATTTTCTTCTTTTATATATTCCAACTCTTTTTATCTAATTTGTATCTATTTTTATCTTTGTGTGTGTGTATACATACATATTTACCTAGAATATATATAAAGTATATATAAATATATATATGTATTTACCTATAGTTCATATTCATTTTCTACTTCACTAACCATCTGCTGAGTTTGTTTTTAAATCAGTTTATAAGGTATAATTTACATATACTAAAATTCATCCTTCTTAAGTATATAGTTCAATGAGTTTTGGCAAATCTATACAGCCCTGTAAGAACGCCATCACCCCAAAAAAGTTGTCTTATACCTTTCTGTTGGCAACCACTGATCTGTTTCCTGTCCTTATAGTGTTTTTTTTTTTAAGATTTATATATTTATTTGAGAGAGGGGGAAGCAGAGGGAGAGTGTGAAGGGGAGAGAAGCAGATGGAAAGAATCCTTCATGCAGATTCCCCATGTGGAACTGACATGGGGCTCAATTCTACAACCCATGAGTCTGATAATCAACTAAGCCACCTAGGTGCCCCCCTTATGGTGTTACTTTTTAATAACATGGCACAAAATGGAATCAAACAATATGTAATCTTTCCGACTTCTTTCATTCTGCACAATGGTTCTGCAATTCATCTGTTTTGTTGCATGTTATCAGTAGTTTACCTCTCTTCATTATTATTCAATTGTACAGATAACTGAAATTGGTTTATCCATCCACCAGTTGATGAGCATTAGAGTTGTTTCAAATTTTTGACTATTATGAAAAAAGCTGCCATGAAATTTGTATACAGGTCTTTGGGTGGTTCTATGTTTTTATTAATTTAGGTAAATACCTTAGGCATGGAATCCACTGAGTTTTTATTTCCTCTTTGTTTCTGACTCCTGGAAATTTCCCCCACTTTCTCTATTTATTACCCTTAAAATGTGTATTTTTATGTTTATGTTTTATATTTTATCTAGAAACACATTTTATTTATATATTTACTGTGGGAAAGTTTTGCAGATTATTTAAAACAATATATTGTCAAAACTGTAAGTTCAGACTAGGACTTTGTCTTTTTTTTCAAAACCAACTTTTATGTAGTTACGTATCTTTCATCTATTTAAAAAAATATTGACAGGGGTGCCTGGGTCGCTCAGTCAGTTGCGCATCTACCTTCGGTCAGGTCACAATCCTAAGGTCCTGAGATCGAGCCCCACATTAGGCTCCCTGTTCAGTGGGGAGCCTGCTTCTCCCTCTCCCTCTGCTGTTCTCTTGCTCTCTCTCTGTGTCAAATAAATAAAATATTTAAAAATAAATAAAAACTGGGGATCCCTGGGTGGCGCAGCGGTTTGGCGCCTGCCTTTGACCCAGGGCGCGATCCTGGAGACCCGGGATCGAATCCCACGTCGGGCTCCCGGTGCATGGAGCCTGCTTCTCCCTCTGCCTGTGTCTCTGCCTCTCTCTCTCTCTCTCTCTCTCTCTGTGTGTGTGTGTGACTATCACAAATTAAAAAAAATTTAAAAAATAAATAAAAACTTAAAAAGTAAAAAGTAAGTTTAAAAAATATTGATAGAAAAGTATCAAAGAAAAGTTTTTAGTCAGATTTCCAAGTATTAGGAGTTCTTTCTGGAAAGAGAAATAAGTTCTAAGAGAAGTCTCACTGCTTAATGGAGGCATGCACTAATAAAACCACAGGGTCCCACAGGGGTCATTAAACATACAACTTTAGGGCGCCCGGGTGGCTCAGCAGTTGAGCATCTGCCTTTGGCCCAGGGCATGATCCTGTAGACCCAGGATCGAGTCCCACATCGGGCTCCCTGCATGGAGCCTGCTTCTCCTTCTGCCTGTGTCTCTGCCTCTCTCTCTGTCTCTCTCATGAATGAATAATTAAAAAAAAAAAAATACAACTTTAAATACCTGACTTCATTACTCTTCATCTAAATTTCTCCATCTATATCACAGACAAATTTTAAGGGCTCCTGGGTAAATCTATGTAATATATGTGATATTACATTATTTTTAATTTTGTAACACCACTCTGAACTTTTTTTTTTAAGATTTTATTTATTTATTCATAGAGACAGCGACAGAGACAGAGAGAGAGGCAGAGACACAGGCAGAAGGAGAAGCAGGCTCCATGGAGGGAGCCTGACATGGGACTTGATCCGATTATGCCCTGGACTGAAAGCGGCGCTAAACCGCCGAGCCACCCAGGCTGCCCCACTCTGAACTTTTCAAACTAAAAACAAAACTGACTCTGTAATTTATGTACCTGGCAAGAGAACTAAATACTTTTAAGTACCCTCCTGTGTACGAGATTCTATGACTATGACTACAAAAGAAAATAATCCAAATGTAGCAAAATACAACTAGTAAAAAGATATGTACAGAAAATCAGAGTATTATTCAGTTACTGTAATTTTTTTTAAAGATTTTTATTTATTTATTCATAGAGACACAGAGAGAGAGAGGCAGAAACACAGGCAGAGAGAGAAGCAGGCCCCATGCAGAGAGCCCAACGCTGGACTCGATCCAGGGTCTCCAGGATCACGCCCTGGGCTGCAGGCGGTGCTAAACCGCTGCGCCACCGGGGCTGCCCAGTTACTGTAATTTTTTAAGCTGGAATAAGTTTTGGATGCTCCCGTGATTAAGAATAAATAGCAAACTTTAATCTTTGATAAGCTTACTTCAAAGTTTAATATAACTGTGGGTATTAACAAGTTTTTTATAATATCATAAAGTCTATATAATTAAGCTGTTACATTGTCAGACTATATGTGGGTAACATACCTGTAAATTGTTTGTATTTTGAGCCCATTTCATTTTTTGCTTCCAATGAGGCTGCCCGACCTAAAAAACACTGCAGCTTTTCCTGGAAAATCTGTGCTGGAGTCATATTTATTGGTAAATTCAGACTCATTTTCTTGGTCCTGAAATCACATCAAGTTAAGTGAAATGATTCCAAATTTTGAAAAAAAATGAAATATTAATACACTAAGAATTAAACATGAAATTTTAAGAAACAGTGAAATTCACTTTTTATTTATCCTCTGTTTTAAAAAGAAATAACTGGAGAGAAAAAAAGAAATAACTGAAGAAGCATTGCATTAGGGAGATTTTTAAGGCTCTCCACAATTATGATACTAATATATCTTCCCATCATTATTTCCCATTACTACCCTACAGTCTACTCTATCCAAACTGAACCAGTCTTATCTTTTGCCATAACCTTTGCTCATGTTTGGAATGTTCTCTCACTATAGCTACTCCATTTGTAGAGATCCTGTCTTCTCTCCAATGCCCATCTCAAATGATATCTCCCACATAAAGTGTTTCCTGTCCTATGCCTGCTTCATACTATTGCTCTCTCCACTGGAGAACCAGTACTTTTCTTGCCATACTACCTAAATTGTGATAATGTTTTGTCCTAATTTCTCTATTAAATTATAAAATCTTAAACATGGAGACTATGTGTCATTTAAGTTTATATCCACAAAGATACCTGGCATAGAGCTTAGTACAGAGGTTACTTAATAAATAAATATATGTTGAATTTGAACTGAAAAATATCAAAGATACAGCAATACCATAATATTCAAAAGAGGTAAAATACAGATAACTAGCTTGATTAGCATGAAATCCAAAACCTACTTAACACAAACTCTCCCACTGACTAAAAGCCCTTTGAGGCCATTAGTAACAAATGTGCTAAATACAAAACTTTTCTTTTAAATAAAATTTTTAACACAGGAAAGTTGCTGAGCTGTCCAAGACAGTAGCCACTAACTGCATTTAGCTATTTAAATTTAAATTAGATTGAAAATTCAGTTCCTCGGTCTTACTAGGCACATTTCAAGTGCTCAATAGCTACAGGTGACTACTAGCTATCATATTGACAGCATATATAAACAGAACATTTTCAACACTGAAAACAGTGTTATTGGACAATGCTGGAACAAGGATTCCACAAAATGTGAAAATGCCAGCAATGAGAGAAAGAAAAAATAGATGACACTATGTTGCTCTTTTTTTTTTTTTTTTAAATTTTTTATTATTTATGACAGTCAGAGAGAGAGAGAGAGAGGCAGAGACACAGGCAGAGGGAGAAGCAGGCTCCATGCACCGGGAGCCCGACGTGGGATTCGATCCCGGGTCTCCAGGATCGCGCCTGGGCCAAAGGCAGGCGCCAAACCGCTGCGCCACCCAGGGATCCCTATGTTGCTATTTCTTAACCTAAGTTTGTCTCAAAATACATACCTTATGAAATGGCTATGATGTTTGCAGAATAGTTGGAAGGCCACACCGATGGAAACAGATGTCTTCCAGTCTCCAAGTTTGTGTGCCAACCACACGGCCTCTGGAACGAGGCCACCAATAAGTAATAGTTCAAAGGCATATTCAACTGTCCACATATCAGAAAGATTCTGATCTCTTATGACACTGGCCACCATAGAGTGCTGCAGAGGAATGAGTCGAAGGGACTGTTCTATGCATAAAACAAAATGGAGAGTATAATTATATTTATCAGAACTCACACCTCTTTACACAGTCACATCTCTGTCTCTCTCTTTTTTTTTTAAGATTTTATTTTTAAGTAATCTTTACGCCAAATGTGGGGCTAAAATTTATAACCTCGAGATTAAGAGTCACATGCTCCACTGACTGTGCCAGCCAGGTGCTCCAACCTCTTTAACTAGTATTTTGGGTATTTCTACACAAAATAACAAGGAAGATACACACAAAATGGTTTAAAATATGGGTGCCTGGGTGGCTCAACTGGTTAAACATCTGACTTCAGCTCAGGTCATGATCTAGGGGCCTGGGATCGAGCCCCGCGGCGGGCTCTACCCTCAGCAGGGAGTCTGTTTCTCCCCTATCCTCTCTTTCTCCCTTTCCCTCTGCCCCCTCCCCTTACTCATGCTCTCTTCCTCTCTCTCTCCCAAATAAATAAATGAAATCTTTAAAAAAAAAAAGATTTTATTTATTTATTCATGAGAAACACAGAGAAAGAGGCAGACACACAGGCAGAGGGAGAAGCAGTCTCCCTGCAGGGAGCCTGATATGGGACTTGATCCCAGTTCCCCAGGATCACAACCTGAGCCAAAGGCAGATGCTCAAACCACTGAGTCATCCAAGTGCCCCAAATAAAATCTTTTTTAAAAATGGTTTAGGGAGGGGCAAATAAAATCTTTTTTTAAAAAAAATGGTTTAAAAAAATACTTAACATAGGGGTTTTTTTGTTTTTTTAAGATTTTAGTTTATTTATTCATGAGAGACAGAGAAATAGAGGCAGAGACACAGGCAGAGGGAGAAGCAGGCTCCATACAGGGAGCCCGATGTGGACTCGATCCTGGGACTCCAGGATCACGCCCCGGGCCGAAGGCAGGTGCTAAACCGCTGAGCCATCGAGGGATCGCCCTAGTTTTTTTTAAACACTGAAGAAGAATATGCCTCATTAGGGGGTCATGAAGTAAATGCCAGCATTCTTAAAAAATGAAACAGAGGGCAGCCCAGATGGCTCAGCAGTTTAGCACCGCCTTCGGCCCAGGGCCTGATCCTGGAGACCCAGGATCGAGTCTCACGTCAGGCTCCCTGCATGGAGCCTGCTTCTCTCTCTGCCTGTGTCTCTGCCTCTCTCTCTCTCTCTCTCTCTCTCTCTCTCTGTGTGTTTCTCATTAATAAATAAATCTTAAAAAAAAAATGAAACAGAACAGGTGGATACAGAAAGAGAAGCATTGAGTACATTACATAAAACAAATATAAACACAGTTTAATGAAAACTTTATGTCAGATAGTGTAAACACATATATATACACTTAAATATACCGGGGCACACTGTACCATTTATTTCTGTGTGCTATTCTGAAATAAATCTCTATTTCTCCTACTAGAAATTTGGTGAGGAGAGATGCATTTATACGACTTTGTAGTCCTCAAAGTGTCATGGAATAAAAAACTAATTTGAGGTAAAACTCAAGCCTTTAGGTATTCAATGTATTAATGTTTATAAGAAAGTAGAAAAGAGTAATTTTCAATAACTCTAAGTGGACAAGATTTCAGCCTTGGATTATATATACAAAGGGTCCCATCCTCCTTAACCTTCTAGATCTTTCTCTAATTAAAATAATGGAATAAGAAACTTGGAAATACAATGACAGAATTGCTAGTTTTTTTCAAAAAATACATATTGCTAACATTCCCACTAGCATCCTTAAAATAAAACTGGCAAATGGGATACATGGGTTTCTATTCCTTGAAACGATTAGTTTCTCATGTGACCAACAGTCTGCCCACACCAAACACACTTTAGCTTTCTGACAAACATCTGGATAGAAACAAACAAAAAAATTGTCATTCACACGAATGCTTGATTCTGCAGAGGCAGAGACCAGAGATTGACTAAATTTTTGCTACTTTTTTATTTCCTATGAGCAAGTTATCATACTATTACAAGAACTTGAATGATTTGATCTTCCGAACATTTTATTGCTTTTATACAGCAAACATCACACCAAATAAGTAACTCAATTCTCAATACATTCTGCCATTAGTTCTGATCTAAAACATTAACATGAAATCTATATTAAGTCAGACCTGTGGATATCCTTTTTCAAGATATTAGGAAATTAAAGAAACCGAAGGATATATACCAAGTTTCAGGTATTTAAATTTTCAATAATCAGAGTCTTAGGCTTAGAAAGAAATCACAAAACTTTCTTTCCTAGCCTCTCCTCTCGTTGAGAAGATTTACACAGGATTAAAAAGGCACGTATTTGAGCTTTTATTTTATGTATGTTTATGAATATGTCCAAAAACAACTCCATAATTCTATCACCTTTCTTCCTTCCGTGTGATAAAGATCAATCTTCCCTAGGTATATGAAGTGATCTGAAAAGATAAAGATCATGGCAAACAGCTCAAGTCCTATAAACAACGTAGGATAGAAAAGGCAAGAAACTGAGACAAATTTTTGAAGTCAGGATTTGACCTTTGTTTTTTCAGGTTTTTCTAAAAACCACATGGAGTACCACCTCTCCTCTTCAGTAAAATAATGTGGATTAAAGATACGATTTATTGTCAGAAACTTCACTACCAAAAATAGAAAACACAAGTGATAAATACCTAGGGCTGTAACAAAAAAGAGAGCTTAAATATAAAACCATTGTAATGATAATGAATACAGCTGACCCTTGAACATGGGTTTGAACTGGGCAGGTCTCCTTATACACAGATTTCTTTTGATAAACACAGTACAACAATATAAATTTATTTTCTCCTCTGATTTTCTTAATATTTTCTTTTTCTAGCTTACTTTATTCTAAGAATACAGTATATAATACATATACAATGCATATTAGCTGTTTCTCTAACAGGTAAGGCATCTGGTCAAGAGTAGGTTATTGACAGGACAGTTCAGTTTTGGGGAGTCAAAAATTTTATGTGAATTTTTGACTGTGCTGGGGGTCGGCATGCCTAACCTGTGTCATTCATGGGTCAAATGTAGTATCAAATGTACATGGAAATAAGTAATATTTATGTGAGAGCCTTAGAGGAAAGCGTAAGAATGAAAGCACAGGCTGGTAGGGTGAAAAGGCAGAAACACCAGCTGAATCTGAGTTAAGACATGGTAGGCAAGGACATGGTGGACAGGCCAGCACAGCAGGCAGAGCCTGGAATAAGCTGTTTTTGTTCAGACCAGCTCCCTAAAAGAAACCATAATCAGGTCACGACCAACTCTTCTTCCCAGGGAAGCAGGGACACTTGTTGCTGCCTCTATGAAACTGCTAATCACCTTACATCTTGTATAATTCTAACGTATGTGTACATATTTACCAGTTCATGTTGCTTCCGGCGAAAGCCCCTTGTACTTAAAGTGCAGATTCCTTCCCCTGGCTTACAACATCTGGCCTCTATCCCTGACTTCATCTCACATCATCTTCTATGCTCCAGCCACATTTGCATTTCAGTTTCTCAAATGCCATCAGGTTTGTTCTTGTTCTGAGGCTTTTGCACAAGCTCAGGTTAGAATGCTGTTTAAGTCCTGATATGTCCATGGTGGCTCTTTCTTGTCATTAAGAGTTCATCTTACACGTCCCAACTCAGAGAGCACTTCCCTCAATTCGCCATCTCCAACAGTCACCCAATCACAATGTATTGCTCTATTTCAGTCCTCTGCATATCAACTATTACCATTTGATATATTTTGTTTATGTATTCACTTATTTAATTTTCTGTTTCAAGCTATTAGATGTAAACTCCATAAAATAACAGGTATTTTATCTGTTTTGTTCATAGCAATCAGAATAAGTTTATTTCATACATCAAAAAAACTACAAATATCTTCATATTATTAATCTCATATGGTGCAAGCTAATATATTTCTAGCGCCTACAATGCTGCTTGGCACACAGCAGACACTTAATAAAATTAGTGGAATAAAATGAACATCATAGACATCTGTGTACATGTTTCTCTCCATAAGGGCAGGGCAATTCTCTATGCGCTAATCTATGGTAAATTTTGACATTGATAAGATGATTAAATAGAGCAAAGTAAATGATCCAAAGAGAATTATAAAAGCAAATCGTCCAAATAAAATTATAAATTAGCATGCTCGAAATTTATTAAATTTCCACATTTTTATATAAATGAAGGTGACAGTCCTTTTACTTTAAAAATGGAAACTTTATAAAAAATACCATTTTGTCTAAAATTTGTAATTAAGAATCCATACTCAATAAAAACAAACCCAAGCAATTACTTATTTCAGAATTTATTCATTTACAGTCACTGGGAATCTATGAGTCACACACTAAGTTAGAACAGTATTTCCATAGAATAACGATCACTGTCTAAGTTGATTTTAAATACTATGTGAAAAAACAAAGTAAGAAAATTATTTGCTTACTAACCTGTTTCAACATGAAGGGGAGGAAGAACGTTCACATTGTGAGGTGGCAAAATGCAAAGTGGCTGGTTGGTGAAATAGGCGGCCATGAACCGGGCCATGGACTGGATAACCCTCACTGCCGCCTCAGGACGAACCCTTCTAGTCATTCCAAACTCACAGGGAGGCTTCTCAGGAACTAAGGAATACAGCAAACGACCAAAGGAGATTCTGATCAAACTATCAAAAGTGGTAAGTTCCTGGGACCCCTGGGTGGCGCAGTGGTTTGGCGTCTGCCTTTGGCCCAGGGCGCGATCCTGGAGACCCGGGATCGAATCCCATGTCGGGCTCCCGGTGCATGGAGCCTGCTTCTCCCTCTGCCTGTGTCTCTGCCTCTCTCTCTCTCTCTCTCTCTGTGACTATCATAAATAAATAAATAAATAAATAAATAAATAAATAAATAAATAAATAAATAAATAAATAAATGTGGTAAGTTCCCAATATTATACAAGAAGAAAATTGTAACTAAAATTTTTTTCTGAGACAATGACCTATATAAGCTAATTTATAATAGGTATCTGTGCTTCCTGAGGACAACTGAACAAAAATAATTAGCCCGTAATTATGAGCATATACACTTAGGAACTACTGAGGACTTCAAGTTGCCAGTTTTATTTTAAAACATGGAGGGATAAATAGAAAACAATCCAGCCATGATGCACTTGTAAGCTTAGATTTCATTATTTTCCCTTCTGCCTTCCCTTTCCAATTTTTTTTCTTCGATAAAAGGAGGCAGAGCTTACTACAAAAATAATCTGAAAGGCACTAGAACGGTGATTTTTTTTTTAAGGTTTTATTTATTTGAGAGAGAGTAAGAAAAAGAGCACAAGCAGGGATAGGGGCAGAGGCAGAGGCAGAAGCAGACTCCCCATGAGCAGGGAGCCCGACATGGGGCTCAATCCCAGGACCCTGAGATCATGACCTGAGCCACAGGCAGATGCTTAACCGACTTAACAACCCAGGAGCCCCTAGAACAGTGATTTTTAATGCTGTTTTCTGTACCATTAGATCTGGGGATTAGGATACACTCCCCTTAGTAAGAGTGGTTCACTTTTATAAGATTCTTTGGTGGTAGGGAGGGACAAAAGGAAAATGTGGGGCAGAGAAAGTGGGGGGGGGATAGGAGTTACATCAGGATTTCTGCAGTGATTGATATATAAACTAGCAGGAGCAAATGTGTCACCTCCATTTGAGAATCAAAGCTCAGTAATATAAACTGGCATTCAGAAATTTGAAAATAGGTAAGCTACTAAATATAAATACTAAGTTAACATTAATTTTTATGAAATTTATGGCAGGACACCTGAGTGGCTCAGTTGGTTAAGCATCCAACTCTTGATTTCAGCTTAGGTCAGATGATGTCAGGATTGTGAGATCAAGCCCTGAGTCAGGCTTGTGCTTGGTGTGGAGTCTGCTTGGGATTCTCTCCCTCTCCCTCTCCTCCTCTGTTTCTCTCCCTCTCTCTCTCTCTCTCTCTCTCTCTCTCTCACACACACACACACACACACACACACACACACACACTAATTAATTAGGACACCTGGGTGGCTCAGCAGTTGCGCATCTGCCTTTGGCCCAGGGCGTGATCCTGGAGTCCCCAGGATGGGGTCTGCATCGGGCTCCCTGCATGGAGCCTGCTTCTCCCTCTGCCTGTGTCTCTGCCTCTCTCTGTGTGTGTCTGTCACGAATTAATAAAGAAATTTTTTAAAAAAAAATTAATTAAAATAAATTTTAAAATAAGATAAAATGTATGGCTCCAAAAATAGCAAAATGTTTTTCTTTCCCAGAAGTCACTTGATACATATTCACAATATTAAGTTCTATGTGCATGTGAACCACTTGTATCTTGTCACTATATACCTCAGCACCTAACACCACTCCTCTCACATAGTAGGCACTCAGGATTATTGTTAATAAGCTTTTTTTAATAAAAAGAATCTTGAAAAAATCTTTTTAGCCTTCAAGCAGTACTCTTCATTTGGTCACTAAAAGTTTGGAAAAAGCATACTACTACTTCACATTAAGCTTAAAAATATATGAGAACAAATTATTTTCTCCAGCATTAAACTTACTGTAGGATTATACCAAGGCAAGATTTCCAGTAATCTTAATCATACAAAAATCATTATTGGAACCTCAAAAATAAGCTCCTTAAATGTGAAGCAACTTAATTCTAAAAGATGGTCACAGAGTAAAACTGTATCAACTCAGAGGTAAAAAAAAAATTGAAATGGTAATTCTGTATGTGGCACAGTGATGATGTTAATAATGACAACCTTAGCCAGTAAAAATTAAATTATGACTTTATACAATGATTTAATAAGGTAAGTGTGCAGGAAAGAGTTAAAAGAACAGGCTTGCTTATAATGTTGGCCCTTGGATGGCATCTGAGAACGTAGATTTGGGGAAGATTCCCACCATCTTAACTGATGAGAATGACTCCCTGGACCTGTTTGTACAAATAATGTGGTTTATGTTAAACAGCTGTGGTTCTTCTGAGAGTGTAGAATTTTGGGACAGGCTAAACAGAAGGGTCTACATGACTCGCCAGCCTCTAATTAAAAAGCCTGGGCACTAAAAAATAAATAAATAAAAATAAAAAATAAAAAAAGCCTGGGCACTGAATCTCTAAATGAGCTTCCTTGGTAAACCATATTCACACGTGTTGACACAACCTGTTGCTAAAGGAATCAAATGTGTCCTGTGGAACTCCACTAGGAAAGTAGTCTTAGAAACTTGAAATTATTAGTAATGCCCACAAAAATTTATGTACACTGCAGCACTACTTAAAACAGTAAACAGGTGGCAGCAACTAAAACATGCAATAATGGGGGAAAGGTTTAATAGGTTTTCAAAAAAGACTTATTTACATTGGAAAATATTAATCAAGATATTAAATTCTAAAAGATTATAAAAACAGAATAATACACAGCTCTAATATACATATATAATATAAACATAGAAAGTGGTCAAATTATAAGTGACTTACTCTTCTTTATACTTTTCCATATTTTCAAGATTATCTAAAATGAACACATATTACTTCCATAATGAACACAAAGATTTTAAGAGATAAAAATCACAAAAAGTAAGAAATCCATTAACAGTGGCTAAAATAATAAAAACCTAAGTTGGCATAACATATGTTTATATATATCTTCCACTCTGGATATTGCTTAATTTAAATATATCTCTTTGGAAAGGGCAATGCAGATACACTGAAGCCTCTGAAACAAATTAAAAAAAGAGACTTGGAATACCTCAGAAAGTGATGTTCATCACTTTACTAAATCACTTTAAGCAACAGTTAAAGAAAATATGAGTATGTTTAGGAAAAATAATTGGATACCTGATATTATTTCTAACAAATATGGCTGTGAGAAAACAATTCTATCAGTTCAGCAGGCAATTATTGCTAAGGCCTGAGGATGCAAAGTTTTTTTTTTAAGATTTTATTTATTTATTCATGAGAGACACAGAGCGAGACAGAGAGAGAGGGAGAGAGAGGCAGAGACACAGGCAGAGGGAGAAGCAGGCTCCATGCAGGGAGCCCAACATGGGACTCGATCCCGGGTCTCCAGGATCACAACCTGGGCTGAAGGCAGCGCTAAACCGCTGAGCCACCTGGGCTGTCTGGATGCAAAAATTTAAAAAACAAAAACAAAAACAAAAAAAACCATGATAACCGTTATTGAGAAGTTGACAGGTCAAAATTCACCATAACATAATTTAGTCAGAGCAACTAACTTTTATGCATAAGCAATTTCATATCTAAACCTACGAATAAAAAGAATGAAATTACACATACTGGTTGTTGAAATACATACCTGAACAATCCTCATTTTCTTTTACAGGTAGGTGGGACCCCCTCAATATTTCTCTTACTAGTTGATCACATAATCCTTGAGCATCATTTAAATTATAGCTATAAAGGTAACAGTATAAAAGAGAAAGATAATAGCGCATCTGAAGAAAACATGTTCTTCTTCCTCCTTAAACAAGAAAGAATTAAACTTACATTAAGAACAAGTTAGCAACTTTTTTTTTCTAAAGTTTATTTATTTAAGTAATCTCTACACTGAACATGAAGGTCAAATTCACAACTCCAAAATCAAGAGTCACACACTCTTCCAAATAAGCCAACCAGGCAGCCAGCAAGGTAATGTTCTTGATCTGGGTGCAAGATAGACAGGAATGTTCTCAGTTTATGAGAGCTGTACACTCAGGTTATGTGGATTTTTCTGTATTTTACACTTCAATAAAAGTTTTTTTTTTTCTTAAAACAGGTCAATACTTTGTTCTTTTTCATTTTAAGTTCTGAACGATTTTATTATCTTTCATCAGGCCCTAGGATGACTAAGATGTTATCCCAAGAGAGCTGCAAATCCTCATCAACTCAGCACTGAGGTCCATTAACAACATTTATCTCAAGTACACATGGCATAAAACAAAAGGAAACACACTAAAAAAGAAAACGCCAAGACACCATACATATATCAATCAGTCAAAGAGACTTCCCAAAGAAGCACTATCCAAAGAGATAGGAGCCCCTGACCACTGTGTCCAAATATCTGAAGGGTGTTTAGAACTGACACCTTATCCATTCCTCCTGAGTAAAAGAATTCCAATTTTGGGGGGCTAACAATGCACCCAGGGGTGCCCAGCTGGTTCAGTCAGTGGAGCATGAGACTCCTGATCTCGGAGTTGTAGGCTCAAACTCCATGTTGGGGACAGAGATAACTTAAAAATTTTTTTAAAAAAAATCTTTAAAAAAATAAATAATGCACCTGGATCACAATTTCTCACTTAGATGTGGCCATGTAAAAAAATGACTGAATTATAAACCAAAAGAAAACACTGGACAGAACTTCCAGAAAAGCTGCTTGGAGGGAGGTAACTCATCTAGGAGGTGCACCCTTTCTTGTCCTTCCTGCCTTCTTCCTTTTTTTTTTTTTTTAATTTTTTTTTATTTATTTATGATAGTCACAGAGAGAGAGAGAGAGAGAGAGAGAGGCAGAGACACAGGCAGAGGGAGAAGCAGGCTCCATGCACCGGAAACCCGACGTGGGATTCGATCCCTGGTCTCCAGGATCGCGCCCTGGGCCAAAGGCAGCGCCAAACTGCTGCGCCACCCAGGGATCCCCCTGCTTTCTTCCTTTCTGCTGTCAAGAATATGGATGTGATGGATGAAGTCCGAGTACTCATTTTAGCTCATGTAATGGCCTTAAGATCGGAAGCAATGCACTAAGGTGACTGAGTAGAAAAACTAAAGGAGCACGGGTCTTTAACTAGACCATAGGAACACCAAATCAGCCCCAGAGTGTGAATTTCTGGTCTCCTTTTCTAAGACAGAGAAATAAATTTTCTTATTAAAAGAAGTTATTACTTTCAGTCTCTATTATTAGAAGCCATTTTTAGTGGATACAGTTAGAAAGAAATTAAATGTAAAGGTCCAGAATGGAATTAATTTCTCCATCAGAACTTCTCATCTTCTTGAATGTCACACCTCTTCATCCAGTTGGACAATCCCCTACTGAGAATGCCATTAGACTTCTTTCTCCAATCTACTCAGTCACCAAGTCCAACTGATCAAACCTATTGTCTGTCAAGTGTAACCTCTGCTCTCCAGTACTCTTGACATTGCTTTGATTCAGGACCTCCTCAACAGACTAATTTTCCTGCTTCCATGTGAGACTTACATATCTACACCACATTTCTACAAATGACCCTCTACATTGCACCAAAGGAAATTTTCCAAATGGCCTATATTCATTTAAAAAGTTCTCTTTCCTGGGATCCCTGGGTAGCGCAGCGGTTTAGCGCCTGACTTTAGCCCAGGGCGCGATCCTGGAGACCCGGATCGAATCCCACGTCCGGCTCCCGGTGCATGGAGCCTGCTTCTCTGCCTCTCTCTCTCTCTCTCTCTGTGTGTGACTATCATAAATAAATAAAAATTTTTTTTAAAAAAAAGTTCTCTTTCCTACATAAAGTTTCTAACTGATCCCAATCTCTTTGGGATAAAATCTTAATCCCTTGACAATACGTACAGTATGTTCCTTATCATCTATTCTCTATATATCTCTCACCTTAGCTCTCACCACCCTACCCCCAATATTGCATACATATATAATTTAGTCCTATTAAACAACTTGCAATTTACCAAATTGTCATGGTTTCTCACATCTTTTTGCTTTTATAATGCCATCTTCTTTGTTAAATCATTACTTCTATTTTAACTGGCTAATTTATATTCAATTTTAAATGTCAATTCCTGGGGTACCTGGGTGGCTCAGTTGGCTAAGCATCTGTCTATGGCTCAGGTCATGATCCGGGAGTCCCAGGATGGAGCCCCAGAGTCAGGCTCTCTGCTGAACAGGGAGTTTATCTCTCTCTCCCTCTGCCTCTGCCTCTCCCCCAACTCCTACTTTCTCTCACTCTCTCTCATTGTCTCAAATAAATAAGTAAAATCCTTAAAAAAATTTTTTTAATGTCAACTGCTCCAAGTTTTCCCCAGACTAATGCTGACACTCCAGCCTTAGGTTGTGGGAAGTGCTCTTCTGTGCTTCCCCAGCACCTACCAAACAACATAACAAGAAAAGTGCTAGTTGTTATATAATCTCTCCATATTATGGGCATCTTAAGGGTAAAGTTATTTATTTCAGTTAACCCTAGTACCTACTACAGTACTAGGGACATACAGGGCCCTTGATAAATACTGGTTAAATAGGAGAATGAATGAAATATACAAAGAAGCCATAAAATTAACTTAATAATTGGCCAAACCTGACCATGTGGTAGTTACAGTCATGGCTAGTTCCAAGGTTGCTAGCTGAGAACTTCTGTCATCCTAGCCATACCCTCAATACCATAAAAGCTATCACCAGTTTCTAGAATCTACAATCCTATAGTCTCATCAAAAATTCCATGAAGAAAAAAAAAAAAAATTCCATGAAGCCCATACTTAACCCAACAATCAGTCTAACTCACAGGAAATTCTTCAAGTTGAATTACTTAAGGGCAGAGAGCCTTAGCTCCACGCTTCTCTAAGTCTGTAAAAAGTAAATGGCCAAAAAAAAACATTATTTTATTTAGGATCTAAATCTCATTTTTCCCCATCAATAATTAATCACAACTCACTAACCAAAAGAAAGGACAGAGGGAGCCTCATCTGGGTAATGGAAAAAATTCTTGGTGCTACAAATTCCAAGACTAAAAACAATTTTAAGTAACTATTTCTGACAGTCAAGTTGCCTACCATTATGTATTCCATTCGAGCATTAATTGTGAGTACTCAGAAAATTTGGAATTATTTTTAAGCTCTACAGCATTCCAAAATACGTTACCACCAATATTATGGTGACTATTATTTTTTAACACTCTCCTACCTTTCTCTTGGGTTTCTTGTAGCGCTTTCTTCCACAATTGAACAGATTTTTCATATGATCCTAACAGGAAATATTCTTCACCTACAAAGTTTTTAACCAACAACCAGTCATGGTTAATGACATTACTTTATAAAAATTTACTTCATTTTAAAATTTAGTGGATGCAGCTCAGTTAGAAACTATTTTAGAAAACAAGGAATCACAAGCAATTAATAAAATCAAAGCCCAGTTAACAACATTGCTTATTCACAGAGTTAGAAAGTGTTTATAAGCTACTGACCATTGATAGATTTAAGTTCCAAGCCTTGGTTCACATGAACTCCAGCATTCTGTAAGTTAGCCTGTATATGACATAACAGAGCCTTGACAGTAGATGCTTCTTGTGCCATCTTTTCCATTAACTGCCTGTCATCTTCAGGAAGTCTTTGACTTAATTGTGTTTGATACCATAAAGTTTTTTTGTACAATACTCTCCAGAGGACAATCAATCTGCAGACAAAATTAAGTGATCATCAAAACCAAATTTCAGACTAGGAATAAAAATTAGTACAGTCTCCTACTTAGCCTTATTATTTTTGCCTATACTCTTTACTGATATAATAATGTATATACAAACTGATCAGATTTAAACAGCACAAAGTCCACTGATCCAAAAATACATAATATATTTTTAAATCTTTTTTTAAAGATTTTATTTATTTATTCATGAGAGACACAGAGAGAGGCAGAGACACAGGTAGAGGGAGAAGCAGGCTCCATGCAGGGAGCCCAATGTGGGACTCGATCCTGCAACTCCAGGATCACGACCTAAGCTGAAGGTAGATACTCAACTGCTGAGCCACCCAGGTATCCCAACATTTTTTAGATCTTCGTGGTTATTCTTCTATAGTGCTTACCTAAACCAACATTATTCAATACTTGGAGATATATCATGGCTGCCCAAGACTAATAAAATACATGTGTTGAATAAAACTCGGCATAAATTCTAAAATATTTTAAAATAACATAAAAATTTATTAATGCCGACTGGTAATAGATACAGGGTTTCTTTTTTTAAAGATTTATTTATTTATTTATTCATTCATTTATTCATGAGAGACAGAGAGAAAGCGAAGGAGATAGAGGCAGAGGCAGGAAGAAGCAGGCTCCCCCTGGAGCTGGGAGCCTGACACGGGACTCAATCACAGGATCACAACCTGAGCCAAAGGCAGACGCTCAACATACTGAGCCACCCAGGCACCCCCTAATACAGGGTTTCTTTCGAGGATCATAAAAACATTCTGGAAGGGCACTGGGTGGCTCTGTCAGTTGGACATCCAATTCTTGGTTTCTGCTCAGGTCGTGCTCTCCAGGTTGTGGGATCAAGCCTTGCATTGGGCTCAGCGAGGAGTCTGCTTGGGATTCTTTCCCCTTTCTTCTCCCTCCCCCTCTGTTCCTCCTCACTCTCCCTCAGATAAATGAATAAAATCTTAAAAAAAAAAAATATTCTGCAATTAGTGCTAATGGTTCTAAAACCTTGTAACTATACTAAAAAGCACTGAATTTTACACTTTAAAATGGTGACTTTTTCAGTATGGGAATTTTATCTCAATTTTTCAAAAAGGAAAACATCTATAATGTTGATAGTACCCTAACAGAAAGTAATTATACCTGTGTCCTGGTTGTTGAGCAAGATTTACTACTTGAGGACAAATCTTGAAAGATGAGTTCCAGGACCAGTTTTCCTGAGAACCACTATCTTGAAACATTTGAAAAATGGGTACCACCAGTTTGTCTTGATTTGCTGTTCTACTTCCATCAGTTGAGGCTGAAATAACTTCAGGATGAAGACCATATATAGCATTTAAATTATCAGCTACCATTTTAAGTAAATGAAAACTAGCCAAAAGCTTCTCTGAGAATAACTGACCCTGTTGTTGCTGGGTCAGCAAAAGCTTTATAGTATTTGAGGTCAGCTTTACCAAATGTCCCACATCTTGTTTGTATCTCATATCCCAATACTGGACTGATAAACACTGATGAAAAAGTTGAAAGATACAAAGGACCCATGCATTTTGTCCTGTGCTCTTATTTAAAAAAATATCTAGTTTGGGGAAAGGACATTTTATAAATTGAAGAATGTAGAAAAAATGAGTGATACAAACTACTGTGTAATTCAACATTACATTTTTTTCCATCACATTTTTTGAAATTCCTATATTCCATGCTGCAAGGAGATTTTTCTGGACAGAATGCAGTTCTGTAATGGTTTTATCTGTTTCCTTGACATTATCTTTTGCATGTATTGTATCAAACATAGATGCAAATTCCAGTCTTCCCTCCTTGACACTACTGAACAATGGATCATTTTTTTTATTCCAAAGTGAGAATAAGTTGTTCGGAAAGTGATTGCCTTCATTAGTTTCTTCTGCTTCAAAATCCTAAAATGTGAGTGAAAAAAAATTATACTTAGTATCATGTAACACCTTACAAGTAAAATCACTGATGTTCTCAAATTTCTTTCCCTTTAACAAAACAAAATATGTTTCTTGGAATAAAGTCAATATGTAACTTCAAAGTAAATAAAACACTGCTACTAAGTACCTGGAAATCTGCTGTTTTTTCACTTAACTTCATGGTTTCTTCTGTCTGTAAGAATCTGGGGACAGTAGAATCAGCTAAACTTTGATTTCCTTGGTGTTTTAACAGGCTAGATCTCAGGGAATCCAGTGATCGTAAGTTCAGCCCTTTGCCTTTTGGCTGTAGAAGATAAGAGATTTCTAAGAGTAAAAGTTTATCTGTAATTCCACCACAAACAATTACAAATTCTAAAGACAACTGTACACAATCCAAGGACATTACTGTCAGTATGGTTTTAATCTGGAAAGACTAAGCAGCCAACTTTTACCAATGATACCAAAAAGCACTATACCTTAGACAATATCATACTTTGATATGTTTTCTCAAGCCTCTGGGTTGAATCAAGTAGAAGGGATCTCATGAGCACTGATGGAGACAGGTTATCAACAAATCGAAGGGTTGTGACCATGTATCCATCAGAAATAATGAGGTAGGGTAACCGTGAGTGTGCTTTTATGGAAAATCTCTGTCTCATGGGGTCACTATCAGAAGCTGATGAGTCTACAGAATTATTTGAATCTTGAAATGTAAACTGCTGTGGTCTAGCAAACAAACACAAAATTAAAGAATTAGTAAGAGAAAAATCTTAAAGGAAACAATCATATTATTCCAAAGAAAAGCAAAACAACAATTAAAAGCTACACAACGATAAAAAAGCCAGTTAAACACACTAACATTTAATTGCATATATCTCTAAGGAAAACACAAATGTTAAATAATATATAGATTTATATGTTTTTTAAATGCCCCCTGAATTGTGGCATTTATTTTGTTTTTAATTTAGTTTTAAACAAACTATTTCAGAAAAGAATTAAGGTAGTTCATTTTTACTCTTATAGAGTTAATAGTAAACTTTCCTTCTTACCATATATGATTATAAGAATATAATTATGAAAAAAAGAATGTAATTATGAGTTATGAATATACTTGTTATTAAGGAGGAGAAAGAAGGGGAGCCTGGGTGGCTCAGTTGGTTGAGTGTCCAACTCTTGATTTCAGCTCAGGTCATGATCTCAGGGTTGTGGGGCTGAGCCCTGAGTCAGGCTCTGCACTAGGCTTGGAATTTGCTTAAGATTCTCTGTCCCTTGGGCAACCCAGGTGGCTTAGAGGTTTAGCGCCGCCTTCAGCCCAGGGTGTGATCCTGGAGACCCAGGATCGAGTCCCACGTCGGGCTTCCTGCATGGAGCCTATTTCTCTCTCTGCCTGTGACTCTGCCACACACACTCTCTCTCTCTCTCTCTCTCTCTCATGAATAAAAAAATAAAATCTTAAAAATAATAAATCTCTTTCCCTCTCCTCTGCCCCTCTCTCTCTTAAAAAAAAAGGAGGGGGAGAAAAAAACTGAGAAAGACATTTGGAAAAGATCGTAGTGACTAACTTTTTATCAGTTTTAGATTAAATTTGACTGAGTTTCCATATAAATGTACTTATTTACTGTTATGTTGGTATACCTGATTAGGATTACTTAATATCGCTGCTTATTAACTTTGGGGCTTTATAAAGAGATCAAATAATCAAAAATATATTATAATCTCTTTCTGGTTAGCAAATTATTCAAATACAGGTTTTATCGGCCAAATAGTCAACAACAGAAGACTAGTTAAATATAGGACATACACACCACAAGGAATCTATAGAACATTAAAAAATTACTTCATGGAAAGATGTATAATATAAACTGTTTAATCAAAAAAGCAAAACACTAAACAGCATATATCATAGAATTCATTTTGTTTTAAAAAAGAAACTAATATTATAAAGTCATACATACTTTTTTTAATTTGTAGGACAATACACTAAAACATTAATAATTGTTATTTGGGAGAAATAGGACTACAAGAGTATTTCATTTTCTACACTAGTTTTACAGCATTTGATTTCTAAGTTTCTTTTTTTAAATAATAAATATGTATTCCTTTTATAATCAGAAAAAGTAATCTAATTTAAAAGGTCCTAAATTCTTTTTTTTAATATTTTATTTATTTATTCATGAGAGACACAGAGAGGCAGAGACAGGCAGAGGGAGAAGCAGGCTCCATGCAGGGAGCCCGACGTGGGACTCGATCCCAGATCTCCAGGATCACGCCCAAGGCTGAAGGCGGCGCTAAGCCCTTGAGCCACCCGGGATGCCCCCTAAATTAATTCTAAAAAATATGAGGCAATTCAAGTCAATTATGAATTGGACCTTAAAAAATAAGGAAAAAATACTTTCACTGCAGGAAGTGACAAACTAGAATTTTCTAATACTAAAAATTAAGCATCATTTTTTGCTAAATATAATCAAGGACACACCCATCCTCAATTTCCTTTCTTTGAGGCAATGGCAATGGATTGATTTCAAAAGACTTTTCCAATTTTTTTGTTTTGTAAATACCTGTATATACATGTCAGGTCATATCTAATATCAACATCAATAACAACAAATATTTACTGAACACCTACTTTATGTCAGAACTGTGCTAAGCAGTTTATTACTAATTACTTTTTTACTTCATTCTCTCAACCCTAAGAAATAGAGTCATTTACCTTTCACAGTAAAAAAAAAAAAGAAAGAAAGTATAACTTACCCAAAGTCACACGATTAATAAGTAGAAGAACCAAGATTTTTTTTTTAAGAACCAAGATTTAATTTTTTTTTTTTTTTTAGATTTTATTTATTTATTCATGAAAGACACAGAGCAGAGAGAGGCAGAGATACAGGCAGAGGAAGAAGCAGGCTCCATGCAGGGAGCCCGACGTGGGACTCGATCCAGGGTCTCCAGGATCACACCCCAGGCTGCAGGCGGCGTTAAACCGCTGCGCCACTGGGGCTACCAAGATTTAAATTTTGATATGACTCCAAACCCAGCTGCTAACCCACCCCACAATTAAAAATTAACATATGGCTAAATTCTAAAGTCTTCTATTCTTTTCCCACAGCTTTTTCCTTCTTTCCTTTTGAGGAAAAAAACAGATAAATCCATGTACCAACTTAAGTTTGAGTTACTAATTTAACTGCTCTTCTTTTAAAACAATAAAAGATATATCACACTTCTTTGAACTTTTATATAAAAGAAAATAAATGTTTTAGTGCTACTAAATATTTAAGTAACTTATACTTACATAGCCACAATGTCAAATTTTCACCAGGATTAAGCAACAAAAAGAAATAAAAGAAAACTATAAATAAGAAACAGATATTGAGATAACAGACTCAAAGAAAGAATAAGACAATTTGAAAGACAAAATTATTTTACAAAAATACATAGTAAAGTAATACCAAAGGAGAAAACCTAAAAACAAAACAATTTAAATGTCTCACCTATATGTTACTAGTGGGTGAAAAGGAATAAATTCTGCTGGCCCAAATTCTATGGAGCAACCAAATGTAATTAACGTCACCAATTCACCTTGACAGGTCAATAAAACCAGGGAGCCACGTTTTAACATACAAGCCAGAAAAAGACTATCGTGAGTCCAGCTGATATCACCTACCCAGTAGGACCTAGAAAAAGCAAGACAGTGTATTTAGAAAGGACTCTACAATGTCTTTCATGATTTAAAATGGCCTAGCAAAAAATAGGGGGAAAAGAATGAATAGTAGGCAATTATCACATACATTTTGGGTTATTTTACTTCCCAGAAAGAAGGTAAGAAAAAAATGCTTGCTCATAAATATGTATTCCAAACAATATTCCAATCAGAAATTCACAGACACGTAAGCAAATGATAAGATGAAAATACTCTGTAGAACAGTAAAGTTTTTCAGTCACATTTTATTTATTTTTTTTTTTAATTTATTTATGATAGTCACAGAGAGAGGGAGAGAGAGAGACAAAGACATAGGCAGAGGGAGAAGCAGGCTCCATGCACCGGGAGCCCGACGTGGGATTCAATCCTGGGTCTCCAGGATCGCGCCCTGGGCCAAAGGCAGGCGCCAAACCGCTGTGCCACCCAGGGATCCCTCAGTCACATTTTAATTAGAACAACTTTAATCATATTGGTGCCTACAACTAAATCTACTTAAAAGTCAATACCATGCCTGTCCTCTCTGCAGCTTGCCAGAGGTCCATGCAGCAGCACACTGTCTTCCCTAAAGCTATCCTTACCACTCCTTAACTATCTGGTAATATGAATATCTTATGGAGACAGAAAGTAGCTCCTCATGTAAATAATGACACTCTAAGTTAAGCAGACTACTGCACTGAGACCAGTAATATTTTTTATTTATTTATTTAATTGAAGTACAATAGAGACATGATGTTACATTAATTTCAGATGTAAGAATGAATAATACCTTTAGAAAGGAACTTTTGGGGAGGAAAAGAAAATGACGGGGAAGGCTAGATAGGCCTGAAAACTGGGAATTCAGAGATTCAGAAAAGGAAATTAAGAAGTCTAAGAGGAAATCTTCCTACTCTATAATCCCAAGTAGATCCTGGTGGTGGCTCATGTGCCATCCAAAATCATGACTTACGTTGTTATTAACCCATACGCAGAGCATGGCAATTTTGTTTAAAAGCTAACACCTCAGCCTCCCTGAGCATATAATGGTTTTCCCAGTCCAGGATGTCTTCATTTTGGTCTCTAATGAAACTCAATAGTTTCCTACCAATTGTGATTCTACTCTTCCTGAGACAATGCAAGAAAAAATAAAAGAAAAAAAAAAATGTTCACGTATCTTCCACCCTACCAAGACCCTTTTTTCTTTTTTTTTTTTTTAAAGATTTATTTATTTATTCATGAGAGACACAGGCAGAGGGAGAAGCAGGCTCCATGCAGGGAGCCCGATGTGGGACTCAATCCTGGGATCCCAGGATCACGCCCCAAGCCAAAGGCAGACGCTCAAACACTGAGCCACCCAGGCGTCCCCCAAGCCCCTTTCTGAAAGTGAGATTTTCCTTACATAAAGCAATTTTTAGAATCTATCAATCAGGGCAGCCCAGGTGGCCCAGCAGTTTAGCGCTGCCACCTTCAGCCCAGGGCATGATCCTGGTGACCCAGAATCGAGTCCCATGTCTGGTTCTCTGCATGGAGCCTGCTTCTCCCTCTGCCTGTGTCTCTGCCTCTCTCTCTGTGTCTCTCATGAATAAATAAATAAAATCTTTAAAAAAAAAAAAAGAATCTATCAATCACAAATACTGAAAGTAAATTGCATTCTCTATCTAAATACTTATTTAGATATCTTTTGAATTACCAGAGCCTTAAATGTATTAAACTATCAGAAAATTGAAACACTAATAGAAACACAAGAGTTTTTACCTGATAAGTGTAGCTGGAACCACAGGATTCTTATTACTACATCCTCTCAGGCTACCACAGAGAGTAACAAAATTCAGTGTGTTTATGAACAATACCTGAGTTGCCTAGAAAGGAGGGAAAGAAAACAACAAAACCATTAAATTATTTTGCTTTAATCATTATTTTTGATTCTAGAGACCCAGAGACCTATTATCATATCAATAAACTCTCTTGGAAGTCTTTCCCAACTGGCAAAACAATACTGAAAACTATAACTCCTCACTCTTATACTCTATTTTAAGGACATCAGTTACCACTTTGTACTTTTTTCTTCCTTTTTACTATTCTCTTTTCACTTCTGAAGGCCAAGTTTTGAAATTACAGCAGCCAGTTTAAATAACTTTAACAATCTACAATACTAAATTGGATCAGAAAACAGCAATTCAAAGAACATAACGTAACATTAAAAAACAAAGAACTCCAAGCTGGACTAAACTCTTTTATAAGTTACTTCCAGGACAGATTATATTTACTGACCTTTGGGTCTTTCTGATTAAGGGTTACTGCCAGGGTAACACCATCTCTTGAAAAGGCAGAAATGAGAGCACCTCTTGACTTTACTGAGGCACATTTAGGAATCAGATTGCACAGATGGCAGTTTTGTTGTGCCCAATGAACATGGTATGGCAATGACCTAAGAAAGTAATGAAATAATTGAAAATAGAAAATATGTTAACTTTTTATATTGTTTTAAAAGATTTTTTATTTATTTATTCATGAGAGACACAGAGAGAGAGAGAGAGGCAGAGACACAGTCAGAGGGAGAAGCAGGCTCCATGCAGGGAGCCCGATGTGGGACTCGATCCTGGGATCAGGCTCTGGGCTTAAGGTGGCACAAAACTGCTGAGCCACCCGGGCTGCCCATATGGTAACTTTTTAAATTAATATTTAGTTCATCATAAAAAAAACTTAAGGATTCAACTAAATTCCTACATGTGCACAAATATTAAGGGGCCTCTTAGCAACTATCCAGAAGTTTCATCAAAGGCACAAGAGCAGTTGCCAGCTAAATAAGTTCAGTATCAGCACTCTGTTAGTAACGGCATGCTTCAGAGTCAACTCCAAATACATCTGCTTTGATGAAAGTTTTACAGGACACAGATTTCTACATTATTGTAAATATTTTTACAGAAATTAAAGAAGAAGAGAAGAAAGGATTTTTAAAGTAGTGGCAATGTTCTGGGATGCTTGTCTGTTGCTAGAGCCTACAACTCTTGATCTTGGGGTTTTAAGTTCGAACCCCAAGCTGGGCGGAGATTACTTAAAAATAAACTCTTTTAAAAAATAAAAATAGGCACGCCTGGGTGGCTTAGTTGGTTAAGCATCCTACTCTTGATCTCAGTGCAGGTCTTGATCTCAGGGTCATGAGTTCAAACCCTACACTGGGCTCCGTGCATTGGAGCTTCCATATAAAAAAAATAAAATAAAATAAAATAGTCTCAATGTTCTATATTTGATATGAGGACGGTTATACACATGTATACTTATGAAAATCCATCTCATTATACACTTAAGATTTATTCATTTTACTTTATCTCAATTATACTTTAATGAAGTACTGTTAACAGAAGAAAATGAAGAAAAACAGAAAAAAACACATTTTTACTAAATCCTGCTTAGGCATTATATGCTTTTAATGTACTCTGTATATTACTGGGCTTCTTAGAATAAATCAAACTATTTTTATTTTATTTATATTCATTAATTTTTTTTAAGTAATCTCTACACCCAATGTGGAGCTCAAACTCATGACCTCAAGAGCAAGAGTGGCATACTCTTCTGAGTCAACCAGGTGCCCCTAAATAAAACTTTTTTTTTTCATTTATTTATTTGAGAGAGAGCTTGTGCGTGCAGGAGCAGAGGAGGGTGGGAGGGGGTGGAGGGAGAGGCAAAGGGAGAGGGAGAAGCAGACTTCCCACTGAGCAGGGAACCCAATGCAGGCTTAAATCCAGAAACCTGGAACCATGGTCTGAGCCAAAGGCAGATAACTGAGCCACCCAGGTGCCCCAATAAAACTATTTTTAATTAAAAAGTACTTGAGTATTTAATAAAAGGTACAGTAGTAAATTCAAATTATGTCCCTTTTAAAATTCAATTGAATTATTTTTCAAAATAGCTACTTCTAGAATTTTAATACAAGACCATAGACTTTCTTACCTTTTACATGTTCTCAATTCCAAGAAAGGACACGAAACAAAAACAAGAAAAACCTTCTAGAGTAAACATTTAAAATGAAAACTAACAGGGATCCCTGGGTGGCGCAGCGGTTTGGCGCCTGCCTTTGGCCCAGGGCGCGATCCTGGAGACCCGGGATCGAATCCCACGTCAGGCTCCCGGTGCATGGAGCCTGCTTCTCCCTCTGCCTGTGTCTATGCCTCTCTCTCTCTCTCTCTCTCTCTCTGTGACTATCATAAATAAAAAAAAAAATAAAATAAAATAAAATAAAATAAAATAAAATAAAATGAAAACTAACAGTAATATTTATGGGAAGAACAGCTTTGTAAAATCTCAGAAGTTCAAATTTAATTTCATTTAACTGGGATCCCTGGGTGGCGCAGCGGTTTGGCGCCTGCCTTTGGCCCAGGGCACGATCCTGGAGACCCGGGATCAAATCCCACATCAGGCTCCCGGTGCATGGAGCCTGCTTCTCCTTCTGCCTATGTCTCTGCCTCTCTCTCTCTCTCTGTGACTATCATAAATTTAAAAAAAAAATTAAAAAGATATAAAATAAAAAATAATAATAATTTCATTTAACTAATCCTACTATGCTCTTATGGGAGAAAAAAATATTCCTGTAAAAGGGATAAAAAATAAGGAAGAAAAAAACCTTTACCTTACCTCATAGTTGTAAATACATTTTCATGCCACCGAATTGCTAGAAACGTTAACTTCAGACATTCCCCAGAATAAAAAGTAAACGAACACAAGCAGCAGTCTCCAAATAACTGTATAGAAAAATTTAATAAACTTTAGTATATAATTCATCTGAAAATAAATCAACAAATATATAAAACATGTATTTTATCATAAATAAAACACATGGAAATCCTGCTTATATTTTTATTCTTAATATTAGACTAAATAATAAGTAATTTAAAAAAAGAATAATTTTTTCCTTATTTCATAACTATGTATTATTTAAATTAGGGCACTATCCCTGGAGGTGGAGGAAGGTAAAGGAAAATAAAATTTTAAAATGCATAGTGCATTGGGTAATGAAACATTGGCCCATACACACAATGCATGCAGCTATTTATAATGTTTTTTAGTTAATGAATATGTTTTTTCTTGGAAACTAAATAGCTTAATATCATCAATTCTAGCTTTTTAAATTATAAAGCTAATTTTATTTTAAAACTAAAAATAAGTACAGAATCAGACCTATAAAATACAAAGAACTGCTGGTTGTCAGAGGAGATGGGAGAGGGGGTTGGACAAAATGAGTGAAGGGGAGTGGGAGATACAGGCTTCTAGTTATGTAACAAGTCATGGGAATAAAAGGTACAGCAGAGGGTATACAATCAATATACTGTAATATATAGTACTGTGTATTACAGTACTGTAATAGTTTCGCATGGTGACTATACTTGTGGCAAGCACAGCATAACAAAGAATTGTTGAACTGCCATGTTGTATATCTGTAACTAACACTGTGTCAAATATACTCAAATATAAAAAGAAATAAAAGGAAATAAATTTTAAAAACTAGGGAAAGGGATCCCTGGGTGGCGCAGCGGTTTGGCGCCTGCCTTTGGCCCAGGGCGCAATCCTGGAGACCCGGGATCGAATCCCACGTCGGGCTCCCGGTGCATGGAGCTTGCTTCTCCCTCTGCCTGTGTCTCTGCCTCTCTCTCTCCTCTCTCTCTCTCTCTGTGACTATCATAAATAAATAAAAAATTTAAAAAAAAATAAAAAATAAAACTAGGGAAAAAGAAAACTCAACTTAAGCCATTGTTTTTGATCAATTAACATACAACGCTATATTAGTTCCCCTCTCGTACCCACTAGTTTGTTGTCTTTACTTAAGAGTCTGTTTATTTTGTTATTGTTGTTTGCTCATCCTGATTTTTAGATTCAACACGTAAGTGAAGTCATGGTATTTGTCTTTCTCTGACTGACTTCTTTCACTAAACATTATACCCTCGAGGTCTATCCTGTTGTCACAAAGGGCAAGATCTTATTCTTTTTTATCACTGAGTAATATTCCATTTTACGTATATACCACATCTTCTCTATCCATTCACCTGTTGATGGACACTGGGTTGCTTCCATAGTTTGGCTATTGTAAATAATGCTGCAGTAAGCATAGAGGTGCATATGTCTTTTCAAATTCGTGTTTTTATTTTCTTTGGGTAAATAGCCAGTGGTAGAATTAGTGGATCATATGGTATTTCTTTTTTTTTTTTTTTTGATCATATGGTATTTCCATTTTTAATTTTTTGAGGAAATCCCATACTATTTTCTGCAGTGGCTGCACCATTTTATATTCTCACCAACAATGCACAAGAGTTCCTTTTTCTCCACATCCTTGCCAAACACTGTTATTTCTGGTCTTTTTGATACTGGTCATTCTGACAGATATAAGGTGATATACCTGTGTAGTTCTGGTGTGCACTTCCCTGATGATTAGTGATGTTGAGCATCTTTTCATATAACTGAGGTCATCTGTATGTCTTCTGTAGAGAAAATGCTATTCAGGTCTTCTGCCCATTTTTTAATTGGATTATTTGTGGGGTTTTGGTGTTGAGTTATGTAAGTTCTTTGTGCACTCTGGATATCAATCTCTTAACAGAAATATTATTTGCAAATATCTTCTCCCATTCATCAGACTGCCTCTGTGTTTTATTGATAGTTTCCTCCTTCCCTATGCAAAAACTTTTTTATTTTTGTGTTCTCCCAAAGTTTAATTTTGCTTTGTTTCCTTCACCAGAGGAGGTATTTAAGAAAATGTTTCTACAGCCAATGTCAAAGAAATTACTGCCTATGCTTTCTTCTAGGAATTTTATGGTTTCAGGTCTCACATTTAGGTCTTTAATCCATTTTGAGTTTATTTTTTTGTGGTGTAAGAAAATGGTCCAGTTTTCTCAACACCATTTGTTGAAGAGACTGTCTTTTTCCCACTATATATTGTTGCCTCCTTCATCATAGACTGACTGATCATGTACGCATGGCTTTATTTCTGGGCTCGCTATTCTGTTCCATTGAGCTATATGTCTATTTTTGTGCCAGTACCATACTATTTTGATTACCTTCATCTTTGTTCTTCTTTTCCAAGATTGCTTTGGCTACTTGGGGCCTTTTGTGGTTCTATACAAATTGTGGGGTTACTTGTTCTAGTTCTTTGAAAAATATTGACATTTTGATAGAGATTGCATTAAATCTTTAGACGGTTTTGGGTACTAAAGACATTTTAACAATATTGGTTCTTCCAATCCATCAACATGGATTATCTCTCCATTTGTTTGTGACATCTTTAATTTAATAAGTATTTTATAGCTTTTGGAGTACAGATCTTTCAACTCCTTGGTTAAATTTATTCCTAGGTGTTTTATTCTTTTTGATGCAATTATAAATGAAATTGTTCTCCTAATTTCTCTTTCTCTTACATCATTAGTAGTGTAGAGAAATACAAGAGATTTCTGTATATTCATCTTGTATCTTATGACATAACTGAATTCATTTGTTGGTTCTAGTAGTTTTTTTTTGGTGGAGCTCAAGCCATTTTTGATAAACATTTTTAAAAATACAACCAAGAAATATAAAAATATTTTTCCACAATTTTACAATTACTCTGTCAATTAATGAAGGCTAAAGACATATAGTAATACATTACACACTCTCTTCAATTGCTTCATAAATAATGCCTGTTCTTAAAGTCTGAGATCTCAACTTCTATAACACCATGTCTGATTTGGATTTTACCTCATTTTTTATAAAAACAGCATGTACTACAGTTTCTTTATCTTCTTTAGAAGGCAAATGAACTGCTTCTTCGGGTATGATCTGGGACCACTGGCCTACCAATGAAGGACTTTTAGAAGATAAGATAGTCTTGAATTCCAAATATTCCCAAAGAAATATGCATCCAGAAGGAGTTATAAGCAAAACTCTTTTCCCATTTCCAGATACATACAAGTACAGTCTCAAAGAGCTTGCTTTAAAAAAAAAAAGAAAGAAAGTTAATTAAACCTCTGAAGTCTGAATTGTTCCCAGAAAGTACATAATATATCTATTCTGACAATAAGAAACCTAATAATACTTCCATTCAGGATAAAATTAAGGCACTACTAATAAATTAAAAGTACAAATAATAGTAACATATATTATGTACTTGTTATATGATGGAACCTACTGGTAAGGACATCAGGGTGGCTCAGTTGGTTAAGCGTCTGCCTTTGGCTCAAGTCATGATCCCAGGGTCCTGGGATCCAACTCCACATTGGGTTCCCTGCACAGCAGGGAGCCTGCTTCTCCCTCTGTCCCTCCCCGCCCTGCTCCACTTGTGTTCTTACTAGTTCTGCTCTCTCTCAAATTTAAAAAAAAAAAAAGAAGAACCCACTCTTATCAGATATTTTAGGCAAGACTTTTCTTTAAGATGAAACCAAGTATCACAAATAAATACCAACAAAAAGGGATGCCTGGGTGGCTCATTGGCTGAATGTCTGCCTTCAGCTCAGTGTGTGATCCCAGAATCCCGAGATCAAATCTGACATGGGGCTCCTTGCGGGGAGCTTGCTTCTCCCTCTGCCTATGTCTCTGCTTCTCTCTGTGTCTCTCATGAATAAATAAATAAAATCTTTAAAAAAATCCATACATGGGATCCCTGGGTGGCGCAGCGGTTTGGCGCCTGCCTTCGGCCCGGGGCGCGATCCTGGAGACCCGGGATCGAGTCCCACGTCGGGCTCCCGGTGCATGGAGCCTGCTTCTCCCTCTACCTGTGTCTCTGCCCCTCTCTCTCTCAGGAATAAATAAATAAAATCTTTAAAAAAAAAAAAAAAAAAAAAAAAAAAAAATCCATACATATATAAGAAAATATATATACGTATATATTCTATGTAAATACATATATGTAAGCACACATACAGAGATACACTTTTAAAATAGTAACAATAAAATGTTTCATCTTCTTTTCCTATTTATTAAGTAAACCAATTTAAGCAAATAAAAAACTCCCACCTACTGCAGCTTGAATCATTTTCTTAGGCTTCTCAGTTGCCGGTATAGTTTTCAAGCAATCTTGATCTTTGTTCCAAAGAAAAAGCTCCCCTGTGGTGAGTACCCCAGCCAGCCACACATCTGTTTCCAAAAAGGAAATACAGTACTTACAACCTAATACTTCCCTTAATATTACCCCAAATTATGAACAAACACAATTAATCTAGCCCTTTGAAAATACAGTACTACTTAACCATTACTGGATGTTGTTAGGACAATAACGTCCTTCAGCAAAGGCTGCAGACTAGGAATTTTCTTCTTTGTTCTTCCTGATAGCAAGTTAATTTCATTTATGAATTTATCATCCAAGAGAAAAACAGCTTCATCTTCCTAAGAGGAGAAACATGTGAGACTTAAGAGGTACCAGAAGTTAATTCAACCTCTAACCTAAATAAATTATCCCAGAAAGGAAAATAAAGTGACATGCAAGAAAGATTTTACACTTATAACACAAATAATAAAATAAACAGTAAGGCTGATTAAGTAACTTGGAGATTTCTTCATTCTATCTTAAAATACTTCTTATTAGAATTACTAGGTAGGATAACCTAATGGTTGCATCCAGACCTTTTTGATATTTAAAATTATAGGAGTGTCTTCTAATTCTGCTAGTCAAAACTGAGTTATGCATGGTTTAATTTCATCAATTTGAACAGTAGTATGGACAAGTTTTTAAATTATATACCTAGATTAAAACAGATATGGCTTCTGAAATTTATAAACCACAGACTCTGGTCATTTTTTATTATCTAGAAAAAGTATGGTCTTTTGGGGTACCTGGACGGCTCAGTCGGTTAAGCATCTGCCTTTGGCTCAGTCACGATTTCAGGATCCTAGGATAGATGCCCCTGCTCAGTGAGGAGCCTCCTTCTCCTCCTTCTCCTTCTGCCCTTCCCCCTACTTGTGCTCTCTCTCTCTCTCTCTCTCTCTCTCAAATAAATAAAATCTTTAAAAAAAAAAAAAAGTAAACTGTTTTGAATGAACCTTGTTTACATATATTCTAGGGCACTGATTTTGAAAATACCATCCAGCCAACAAGTATCAGCAATACCTTTGACACTGTCAGAACTGCACACTATCCACCTCGGTTAGTTCCCTACTCAGGCAGGAACTCCAGGAGTGGGGCCCAATACTTGTTTTAAAAAGATCACCAGGTAAAGGGGCACCTGAGTGGCTCAGTCAGTTAAGTATCTGACTCGATCTCAGCTCAGGGTTGTGAGTTCAAGCTCAGAGTTGGGCATCACCAGATGATTCTTTTTTTTTTTTTCACCAGATGATTCTTAACCACTGCAAAGCTCAAGTGAGACACTGTTCTAGAGGAAGTTAACAATATAATTTGTCATAGGAAATGGCATTAAATACCGCATTTTTAAATTTTCGTATTTACTACATATCCTAAGAGGATTTTATAGGTTTGCCAACTTTCCCTAAGGTGAAGAATCTATTCCATATACTGTGACTAGTGTTCCTGGATAGCTGGTATATTCTGGGCCATCTTTATTCTAGTTCTAAGGGGCACTTTTATTGAAAACTCATGAAAATCACAATGGCAGGAAAGACTCCAATGACGGTTCCAGTAAGGAAAGGTTCAGAAGAAAGGAATTAAATATTCCCTTTCAGCTACACAAAAGTAAAAAGCTTTTGCACCATGCAGGAAGAAACAACCAACAAAATAAAAAAGCAATATGCTGAATGGGAGAAGACATTTGCGAATCATGTATCTGACAAGAGGTTAAAATTCAAAATACACAAAAAATTATATAACTCAACACCAAAAAACCCCAAATAATCCAATTTAAAAGTGTACAGAGGACCTGAATAGGCATTTTTCTATAAAAGACATACACAGATGGCAAACAGACACACGAAAAAAATGCTCAACATTACTAATCATCAGGGAAGTGCAAATCAAAACCACACTGAGATGTATCACTTAAACCTCTCAGCATGACTAGAATCAAAAAAAACAAGGGAGGGGGCAGCCCTGGGTGACTCAATCAGTTAAGCATCTGACACTATTTCAGCTCAGGTCCTGAGATGGAGCCCTACATTGGGCCCTGTGTTCAGCAGGAAGTCTGCCTGAGATTCTCTACCGCTCCCTCTGCCCCTCCCCCACTCATGCTTTTTCTCTAATAAATAAATTAAAAAAAAAAAAAGACAAAAGGGGACTCTGGCTGGCTCAGTCAGTGGAGCAAGTGACTCTTGCTTTTGGGTTGTGAATTCCAGCCCTCTGTTGAGTGTAGAGATTACTTACAAATAAAATATATATATAAAAAAAAAAGACCAGAAATAACAAATGTTCAGCAAGGCTGTGAAGAAAAAAGGAACTCTTGTGTATTGTTGGTAGAAATATAAACTGGTTCAGCCACTGTGGAAAACAAAATAGGATTTCCTCAAAAAATTAAAGATAGAAATACCATATGATCCACTAATTCCACCACTGGCTATTTACCCAAAGAAAACAAAAACACTAATTTAAAAAGACATATGCACCTCCACGCTTATTGCAGCACTTTTTACAGTAGCCAAACTACAGAGGCAACCCAGTGTCCATCAACAGGTGAATGGATAGAGAAGATGTGGTATATACATAAAATGGAATATTACTCAGTGATAAAAAGGAATGAGATCTTGCCCTTTGCAACAACATGAATGGACCTGGAGGGTATAATGCTAAGTGAAAGAAGTCAGTCAGAGAAAGACAAATACCATGACTTCACTTACATGTTGAGACTAAATTTCAAAACGAACAAACAACAATAAAATAAACAGACTCATAAATACAGAGAATAAAGTGGAGATTTATCACAGAATATGTTGTATACTGGAAATTAATATAACATTGTTATATTTAGATTTTTAATTAAAAATTAAAATTAAAATTTTTAAATTAAAATTTTTAATTAAAAAACTCCCTTTGAGGAGCACCTGGTGGCTCAGTTAAGCACCAGACTTCAACTCAGGTCATGATCTTGGGATCCTGGAGTGGGGCCCCATCTTGGGCTCCATACACAGCAGGAAGTTTGCTTTTCCCTCTCCCTTTGTCCCTCACCCTGCTCATGTTCTTTTTCTCTCTCTCTCAAATAAATAAATAAAATCTTAAAAAAAAAAAAAAAACTCACTTTGATATAAGCCATCTCAATCATGAACCTAATGTGATAAAAAAAAATTTTTGAAAGTAAAATATTTCTTCTAGACAGACCATTTAACTTTCTGGAGAAGCTAACTTGCTCACCTTAAAAAAATAAAAAACACAAAAATTCTTGCTCTATGAGCACGTGATCCTTCTAAAGACAGTGGGTTTATTTTTTAAGACCATAGAACATCCTATCTTAGAGCCAAAGTATACATTTAACACATTATTACAGCTGGTATTGTATGAAGATAGGAGAACCTACCTGTCCTAACCAGGAGACTCGTGGCCAGGGCTTTTTCTGTTTGATACTTGTTGATGTCAAAACTTCTAATCGTATCTCCATGCTTGTTAAGTTAACAACAGTCCACAAGATGCTGTAAAAAAAAAAAAAAATGAATGAATGAATGAATGAATAAATAATAATAATAATAATAATAATAATAATAATAAATAGCCCATAAGATTTACTGAGGATTTGAATTTAGAATTTTCACAAAGTAAATCACTTTTTTCATCAAATTAACTCTTTTTAAAGTAAGATATTGAGAATGTATTTCATATCTCATATTTCGAATAGTCAGACAAAATGTATTTGCTTTTTTCACAAGTTTTTTCTCAGACTATGAAGATAAAAACAAACTAGGAAAAGATCTTGACAATAAAATTTCTATGTGATATGTTTTTCTCAGTGTTCTAGGTATTTCCCAAAGACGCCCATAACAGTATCTCCCATCCCACATGCTCTTCTTATACTGTGACTTTGACACTTCTCTCATTGAGAGCTCTAGTTCATGCCTCATCTCTTAAAATTGGAGGAGATTTTTTTTTTTACTATTTTGACAAACGGTAAAATGGACGTGATGTTATACATTTCGCAAGGCTCCATCATAAAGAGCAATTACAGCTTCTACTTTACTCTCTGAAGTAATCACTCTTGAAGCTTTTAATCACCACAGAAGCAGTCAAACCACCCTGAGCCATCAAGCTATAACAGAGTTCAAACTACCCCAAATAAAGATGAAGCCCAGAAATGAAGTGAAGATGCCTGGCAAGTACCATGATAGATGTGGGGATAGTTGCAGTGGAAGCCAAGAAGAGTTTGCTGGAGCCAAGGAGGTGAGGAAAGCATAATCCTGGGATAGGGAGAATCCTGGGAGGATGTTCACACGGTGTGACTGCCTGGCACAGCGTGCTGTGCCCAAACAGAAAACACGGAAGTCATTCTAAAAAGGATCCCACTGACCAAGGTGAAAATTGTTTGAGGATCAAAACAAATTATAGCAATGGATTTTAAATCATGAGGGGTGCCTGGCTGGCTCAGTCAGTAGAGCATGCAACTCTTCACCTCAGGGTTGTAAATTTGAGCCCCATGTTGGGTGTAAAGATTACTTAAGAGTTTTTTAAAAATAATCTTTTTAAAAATATTATTTATTTATTTATTTTTAAGATTTTATTTATTTATTCATCAGAGACAGAGAGAGAGAGGCAGAGACATACACAGAGGGAGAAGCAGGCTCCCTGCGGGGAGACCGATGCGGGACTCAATCCCAGGATCCTGGGATCATGCCCTGAGCCTAAGGCAGACACTCAAACCACTGAGCCACTCAGGCGCCTGTTATTTATTTATTTGAGAGAGCGAGCATGCACAAGCATGAGTGGTGAGTGGGAGAAGGGCAAAGGAAGAGGAAGAGGAAAAAGCAGACTCCGCACTGGGCAGGAAGCTCAATGTGGGACTTGATTCCAGGACCCCAAGATCACAACTTGAGCCAAAAGCAGACACAACCTACTGAGCCACCCAGGCACCTCTGGAATATTCTTAAAAAGATGAAAAATGTAAAACTGAACCTTAATCTGTGTCTGACTCTAAATACCAACTGACAAGAAATAAAGAAAATGAAGGAACATATTAAATACACCAGAATAAAATTAACCAAATTCAGAATGTAACAAATGCTATAGGATAAATGATGCAGTTTCTTCAACAAATAAATGGTATTTTAAAGGGGAGAGGGAGAAGGGCACCTGGGTGGCTCAGTCAGTTAAGCGTCTCACTCCTGATTTTTAGTTCAGGTTATGATCTCAGAGTTCTGAGACCAAGCAAGCCCTGAGTTGGGTTCCACACTCAGTGGGAGTCTGCTTGAGATTCTTTCTCTCTGCCCCTCTCCCAAATCGCATGTGCTCTCGCTAAAATAAATGAATTAATTAATTAATTTTTAGAAATATTTTTAAAGGGGGTAAGGTAGAGAAGTTGCCAATTGCTATATATGTATTATATAAATATATATATATACACACATATAAAATTGGGGGGAATGTTAAGAGAACATAATAACCAAATGCAATATGTGAAGATCTTTTTTGGATTGTAATTTAAACAAATCAGTTAGAAATAGATATTCAACAGCTGCCAAAAAGAACAGGAAGATCTCTATAAACTTGGATTTCTAAAATATGTTATTAATTGAAAAAAGCAAAGTACAGAAGAGTATACATAGCGGCATCTGCCTGGCTCAATTGACAGAGCAAGTGACTCTTGATCTTATTGTTCAAGCCCTGCACTGGGTGCTGGGTATGGAGCCTACTTTAAAAAAAGAATGTACCTAGTATGCTACTTCATGTGTAAGGAGACGGAAATAACACATGCATCATTTAATTTTGCAAAAAGAAACAGAAAAATAAAACAAACAAACAAAATAGGTTAACTACCACAGTGCTGGGGGAAGAAGGGCTAGAAAACAAAGTGGATAGGCTAGGGAGAGAGGGATACCTAATGTACCTTTCACCATATAGTTCTGAGTTTTGGAATTACATTAATAAAAACAAGAATGGGGGATGCCTGGGTGGCTCAGCAGTTGAGCATCTGCCTTTGGCTCCGGGTGTGATCCCGTCCCAGGACTGAGACCCACATAAGGCTCCCTGCAGGGAGCCTGCTTCTCCCTCTGTCTATGTCTCTGCCTCTCTCTGTGTCTTTCATGAATAAATAAATAAAATATTTTAAATAAATAAATAAATCAAGAATGGAAGGGGGACAGAAAACTTAACACAAAGAGAAGCAAATGCAACTGTATTTCAAATGAGTAAAATAACCACAATGAAGAGAAAAAGAATTCAGGTAACTTTTAAATACAGTATTTTGACTACATGCCCTCAAACTGAAGATAAAAAGGACTACAAACAAATCTCAAATTCTTCTTAGTAGGTTTGTTTTTCCTAGGGGTATGAATATACAAATTATGATGCTATGTTTTGTGAACTGTAGGACTGAGCAAATGAACATATACATATATATGTAAATGTATACATATATATGTATACATATATATGTATACACATACATATAAACATATATATAGCTGTTGATGGGAGCCAGCATTCTCATTGCAGAAGAAAGAGGAAATAGTTATAAAATGGGGAAAGGTAAAGAAGAGCCCTAAGGGGCTGGATAAGAACTGGAGGTATCAGTGTAAAAACTCATGATTTCTAGCTCCGTCTTCTAAAAGGGCCTGCAGGAGCAATGATACTCTACTAGCAATGAGCAAACTTAGCACCCAAGATTTTGGTTGTCTTTGTTTTGTTTTTAAAGATTTTACCCACCCACTCATTTGAGAGAGAGAAAGAGAAAGCCTGAGCAGGGGAGTGGGAGAAGAAGACGGAGAAGCAGACTCCCCACTGAGCCCTGAACCCTGCTGTAGGGTTCAATCCCAGGACCCCGGGATTATGACTTGGGCGGAAGGCAGACACTTAACTGCTGAGCCACCCAGGTGCCCCCAGATTTTCATTTCTAAGTACCATTCCTCAGTAAGAGACACCAGGGCTCCTTGAAAAACAGCTGATTTCAGGGCAGGGATAGCAAAGCAAACAGATGGACCTGGAACATCTTGTTCCAAAGTAAGGAAGCAAACATATGATGGGGACATGTCAAAAAGAAACAGGACCAAGGGCTGCCTGGGTGGCTCAGTCTGTTAGGGTTTCAGATCAGGTCACAGTCTCAGGGTGGTGGGATCAAGCCCTACCTCTGGCTCAGAGCTGAGGACAGAGTCGGCTTGTGAATCTTTGCCCCCTCTTCCCCTGTTCCTCCTGTGTGTGGGAGTACACGCGCATGCACTCTCTTTCTCTCTAATAAATAAATAAAATCTTCAAAAGAAAGAAAGAAAGGGGACCAAGATTGATGGGCCAAATCTCCAGGTCAAATTTGAGACACTCTGAGCATCAAAATAAAGATGAGCAACAGGTTACAATCTCTTAAATGAAGAATAAATGAGGCCACACTGATTTGAAGGTAGATATGGAAAATCACTATTTTCCAACTATCATACTAAAAACTAATTCAGGAAAGAACCATCAGCCGATGCTAAACCAGGCAGAGGGAGAGGGAGGATTCTAAGATTTACATAATCTGGAGTTATTTCCCCACAACTGCAGCTGATCCTTGAACAACACAAGTTTGAACTCTAAGGGTCCACTTATACACAGATGTTTTTCAATAAATATGGTATAGTACTGTATTTTCTCTTATTTTATTAATGCCATTTTATTTTCTCTAACTTACTACATGATACAGCATATAAAACATACAACATATAAAATATGTGTTAAATATTTATGTTATTAATAAGGCATGGTCAACTGTAGGCTATCAGTTTAGTTTTTCCGGAATCAGCAGCTTTTCAACTGCATGGGGTGGGGGTTGACACCCCTAACCCCCACGTGCTTTAAAGGTCAATTGTACTTAATTTGCAAAAACGGAGAAAGTAACAGTGAACAGGAAAAAAATGATAGTGGAAAAAATGGACATCTTAACCTATAAAAGGGAGACATTATGCTTCTCTGATTGTGATAATTTGAAAAAGACATAACATTACTTATATAGTATTCCCACCAAAAAATTCAAACCTAACTCTATTCATGAGGAAATTAATTCATGTTGAGGAACATGACATAAATGGGCTATTAGTCCTTAAAAATATTGATAATGGGGCACCTGAGTGGCTCAGTCAGTTAAGTGTCTGCCTTCAGCTCAGGTCATGACCTCAGGGCCCTGGGATCAAGCCCTAGTGCAGTTCTGTGCACAGTGGGGAGCCTGCTTCTCCTTCAGCCTGTGTCTCTGCCTCTCTCTCTGTCAGGAATAAATAAATAAAATCTAAAAAAAAAAAAAAAAAAGGAAAAAAAAAAGAGAAGGAAAAGGTATGGGCAAAATATAAACACATGGGCAAACAGGGTGACAGTGTAGGGAGTTCTTTAATATTCTTCTTGCAAATTTTCTAAAAGCCTGAATTTCAGATTCAAAAAAGATGAATATTGACTATGACAAGGTATTAAAAGACATCGAGGAATTAACGTTATTTTTGGTGGTATGTGGTAAGGCTATTATGGGTTTTGGGTTTGTTTTTTGTTTTTTGTTTTTTTTAAGAGTCCTTACCTTTTCTAGATACGAGAGATACACTATATACTTAAGTTTTTATGCCAGGAATTTGCTTTAAAGTGTTCCAGAAGTATGGTCATATATAAAAGCCTTTCAACTAAAAGGTAAAGGATAAAAACAGCTCAAGATGTAAAGACGGAGCCCCACAGGGTTTGACGATGATGGACGGGGTCTCGTCTTCCAGAACTCCACGAGATGCTCTCTGCCTCCTAGTGAACCCGCACTCAGAACAAGAACTGCCACAGAGAATAATAAACATCACGGAACAAGGGAAATCAGCGAACGGAAGAAAGAAATGAAAAATAAACTCGGGGGATCCCTGGGTGGCGCAGCGGTTTGGCGCCTGCCTTTGGCCCAGGGCGCGATCCTGGAGACCCGGGATCGAATCCCACATCGGGCTCCCGGTGCATGGAGCCTGCTTCTCCCTCTGCCTATGTCTCTGCCTCTCTCTCTCTCTCTCTCTCTCTCTCTCTCTCTCTCTGTGACTATCATAAATAAATAAAAAAAAAGATCAAAAAAATATTAAAAAAAAAAAAAAAGAAAAATAAACTCGGGGATCCCTGGGTGGCTCCGCCGTTTAGCACCGCCTTCGGCCCAGGGCGCGACCCTGGAGACCCGGGATCGAGGCCGCGTCGGGCTCCCTGCGTGGGGCCTGCTGCTCCCTCGGCCTGGGTCTCTGCCTCTCTGTCTGGGTCTCTCGTGAATAACTAAATAAAATCTTAAAAAGAACAAGAAATTCAATCACACTCACAAAACGCACTAGGAGGAAAACTACGTTGAGTCCGCACACACACACACACACACACACACACACACACCCCCAAAGAAACGACCTTTATTCAAAACTCATTAGCGAACGCGGTCCCCAGAGCTCTTCCGCGGTTGCCACCCCAGGCAGCCTAAGAAACCGCCTCCGTCCCTCTGGGCTCAATTTACCCTGAAGAGGGTCAAACCGAAGTTTGTCCACGGCCACCTCGCGCGAGTCCCGGGGTCGTGCCCAGGGACCCACCCCCCACCCCAGCGGAACCCCCACCCTGCGGCGGAGCCTGGGGGGAGGGCGGCCTTCTCCCCCGCGGGGCCCGCGCCTCCTCAGCCCGAGGATGCGACGCGGGGGAGGCTGGGGGAGGCGAAGCGCGAGGGGAGGGCAGGGGCGGGGGGGGGACAGGACGGGGGCGGAGGGGGAGGCTGGGGAAGACGGAGCGCGAGGGCGGGGCGGCGGGGGCCCGCGGGGGCGAGGGGAGAGCGGGGGCGAGGCGGCGCGGCGGCCAGGGGGCGGGGCAGGGAAGGCCGAGCGCGAGGGGAGGACCGGGGGGGGGGGAAGGACGCGGGGGAAGGAGGGGAGAGGGGGGAGGGGGACACCGAGCGCGAGGGGAGAGCGGGGGCGAGGCGGCGCGGCAGGACCAGGGGGGCGGGGGGCAGGGAAGGCCGAGCGCGAGGGGAGAGCGGGGGGGGGGAGGACGCGGGGGAAGGACGCGGGGGAAGGAGGGGTGAGGGGGGAAGGGGCACCGAGCGCGAGGGGAGAGCGGGGGCGAGGCGGCGCGGCTGGACCAGGGGGGCGGGGGGCAGGGAAGGCCGAGCGCGAGGGGAGGACGGGGGGGGGGGGAAGGACGCGGGGGAAGGAGGGGTGAGGGGGGAAGGGGCACCGAGCGCGAGGGGAGGACGGGGGGCGGCGGGCGGGCAGCGACCCGGAGCCCGCGGAGGCCGGCGGCCGCACGGTGCGCGGGGGGGGCCGGGGCGGCGAGGGCCGGGCCTGGGGCAGTTACCTCCCGGGGCCCCGCCCGTCCGTCCGAGGCGGGGAAGGCGCGGCGAGCCCCAGGGCCACACGGGCAGCGCGGCGAGGAGGCGGGAGGGCGACGGCCGAGGCGCGGCCCGCAGCCCAGACGCGAGCCTGTGCCCGGGCGACGGCGGGGGCGGGGCGGGGCGGGGCGGGGCGGGCGGCTCGCGCTGCTCCTCCCTCCCGCGCTGCCTCCTCCTCGGCGCCCCGGCGCCGCGCGGTCCCGCCCCTCGTTCCCGGAGCCTCCGGCCCCCCCGGGCTCCGCGGCTCCCGCCGGGGTGCGCCCCTCCCGCGCGCGTGCAGACGCTCGCCCCCTGGGGGCTCGGGGGCCTGTGTAGTGGCCGGTATCGAACTCCCGGGGTGCCGCCTCCCTGGTTGGAGCCACCCCCCACCCCCCCCGGGACCTGTTCCGCGCTGTCCGCGGTGTGTGTTGGGGGGGCGGCTCCGTCCTCGCCGCGGGACGGACTGGTGTTGAGCGCGCAGTCCCGTCGCCTGCCTGCCGCTCTAGAGCTCTGGCCACCCTGGAAAGGCGTCTTTTCGGGAAGCTTGACTCCCGGTGCCGTAGGCGGTGCCTGCTCTGTTCCCTCCTCGCCCTCCTCTTCACGGCTTGATGTCCCGGGCTTGGTCCCGGGGATTTTGATTGGTCTTCTGCGATGTTTCTTTTTTTTTTTTTTTTTTTTTTTTTAAAGTTCTTTTTTTTTAATTTTTATTTATTTATGATAGTCACACAGAGAGAGAGAGAGAGAGAGAGAGAGAGGCAGAGACACAGGCAGAGGGAGAAGCAGGCTCCATGCACCGGGAGCCCGATGTGGGACTCGATCCCGGGTCTCCAGGATCGCGCCCTGGGCCAAAGGCAGGCGCCAAACCGCTGTGCCACCCAGGGATCCCTTCTGCGATGTTTCTTCATTGAGCATCTACTTTATTCTCCATTTACACCATAATGACATTCCTGAAGTTCTTACACGTTAACATTTGTGTACGTCTAGGTTTAGTCTTTAATATTAAAAACAAGGAGTCAGGAACACCTAGGTGGCTCAGTGGTTAAGCATCTGCTTTCGGCCCAGCGCGTGATCCTGGAGACCCAGGACCGAGTCCTGGGATCAAGTCCTGGGATCGAGTCCCACGTCGGGCTCCCTGCATGGAGCCTGCTCCTCTCCCTGCTTGTCTCTCTCATGAATAAATAAAATCTTCAAAGAAAAAATAAAAAACAATGAGTCAATATATACTTTAAAGTTATTGATTTAGTATTTCTCCGTCCTGGCTGCACATTAGAATTATTTGGAGAGCTATTTAAAAATATTGGCCCTTGGGATACACTACTGAAGATTCTGATTTGATTGATCCCAGATAGAACCCAGTTTCTCTTGTTTTTGAAAGTTCCCCAATTCAAGGGGCGCCTGGGTAGCTCAGTCCGTTAAGCATGGATTCTTGATTTCATCAGGTCAGGATCTCAGGGTGGTGAGACTAGCCCCAGGTCCAGCTGGCACTGGGAGTGCAGCCTGGGTGAGATTCTCTCCCTCTCCCTCTGTCCCTCCCCCTGCACGTGCTCTAGCTCTATTTCTCTCTCTCTCTCTAAAATAATGTCTTTAAAAGTTCCCAAGTCTATATTGGAATTAATTTTTTTAATAAAAAATAAAAAGAATCACACTTAAAAAATAAAATTTCGGGTAGCCCCGGTGGCCCAGCGTTTTGGCGCCGCCTTCAGCCCAAGGCCTGATCCTGGAGACTCGGGATCCAGTCCCACATTGGGCTCCCTGTGTGGAGCCTACTTCTCCCTCTGCCTGTGTCTCTGCCTCTCTCTCTCTCTCTCTCCGACCCCCCCCCCCGTGTGTCATGAGTAAATAAATAAAATCTTAAATAAATAAACAAATAAATAAATAAAATTTCCACAGGTGATTCAAATCTGAAGTCAAGGTAGAGCCTGATATTACCAAGTTGACATTCTTAATCATATATTAATTCACAGGCCTCCAGCATCATGAACATTGCATATTGGATATTGGCCTCATTTGAATCTTTGTCAAATAGATGACAATAGTAACTCATTATCTTACTATGCATTTTTTATTTCTAGTGAGATTGAACATTTTTCAAATATTTACTATCCATTTGTAATTTTCTTTTTTTTTTCTTTAAGGTTTTATTTATTTATTCATAAGAGACACAGAAAGAAAGAGGCAGAGACACAGGCAGAGGGAGAAGCAGGCTCCACGCAGGGAGCCGGACATGGGATTCCATCCCTGGTCTCCAGGATCCCGCCCTGGGCTGAAGGCAGCACTAAACTGCTGGGCCACCCAGGATGCCCTGTAATTTTCCTTTTATGAATTCTCTTTATATTCTCTGACCATTTGTCCAATGGCATTGTTCAGGTTTTTATTATTGTAAATAATTATGAGAATTAAGTTATTATTCTGCCAAATAGAGCAAATCTATCATTTACCTTTTAATTTTGTTGATGTAAGTTGTACGAAAATACGGAATAACAGTCTATTTTTATAAGATTTTCATTATTCTTATCTTCATTTAAATAAAATGTCAGCTGATGTCACTATATATTTTTTTAAAGATTTACTTATTTTAGAGACAGAGCTCACTGGCCCATTTACCCACAACTTGGGGGAGGAGCAGAGAGACAGAATATTTAAGCAGACTCCCCACTGAGCCCAGAGCCAGAAGCATCCTGACCTTACGACCCTGAAATCATGACCTGAGCCAAAATCAAAAGTTGGATGCTGGGCAGCCCCGGTGGTGCAGTGGTTTGGCGCCGCCTGCAGCCCAGGGCGTGATCCTGGAGACCCTGGATCAAGTCCCACGTCGGGCTCCCTGCATGGAGCCTGCTTGTGTCTCTGCCTCTCTCTCTCTGCATCTCTATGAATGAATGAATAAAAATCTTTAAAAAAAGAAAAAAAAAGATTTGGATGCTTAACTGAGCCACCCAGATGCCCCTAAGGCTTTATTTATTTATTTTTTGAGCAGTTTAAGGTTCACAACAAAACTGAGAGGCAGATATAGAGGTCCCACATATAGTCCCTTGCTCCCACAAAAGCATAGCCTCTCACCCATTATCAATATTCTGCACCACAGTGGTACATTTGTTATAATTAATGAACTTCTGTTGACACATCATCATCACTCAGAGTCTATAGTTTAATTAGGGTTTACTCTTGGTGTTATACATTATGTGGGTTTGGATCTTTAATTTATTACTAATTATCCATATATGACAATTTTGTGTAGGGACTTTGAGCGTTTGGGGGTAACTGTGTGTCAATATTCAATATTAAGACATCCCTCTTAAAACTTTCTTGGCTCTATTTGATGGATACATCTATATAGAACTAGCTCTTCCCTCTCTGATCCACGTATCTTTTTCTAACACCAAATGAATATTAACACAAAATAGGAGAAATATTTTTCTTGTCTGAGATCCATCTAAGTCCTATAACTTCATTTCGGTCAGAGTAGAATATATTCTGTAACAAATACTCCCTAAATCTCAGTGGCTTAATGCAACTGAACCCCTTTTTTTGAATAAAGCTTGATCCATACTGCACACCAATATATATTCCAGGGGTATCAATATTTAAATTTTAAAAATGAAATCATAAAAAAAAATATATTGTTGAGGGACACCTGGGTGGCTCAATTGGTTAAGTGTCTGTTTGTTTTGGCTAATGTCTGATTTCATGGGTTGTGAGATCCAGCCCCGTGAAGGACTCCATGCTCCAGGGGAGTCTACTTGAGATTCTCTCCCTCTGCTCCTCCTTCTATTCATTTGCCCCCACTCTTAAAAAAATAAATTTTTAAGAAATACATATTTTTGAATATTTTTTTTATTTCAGAGTATGGAATGTCTTTCAAAGCAGCATATAAACAATTAGTGTTCTTACCATCTAAGATGAGAATTTATTTCTAGAGGACAGCCTCGTTATTTAGGAAAATGCTTTGAGATGCCTGTGAAATTTGCTACTGCCCACCAATGTTCATGTCCAATGTTCATGTCACTTCATCTTCCTCAGCACACAAAAACCACATGTCTGGACCCCTTTGTATTTAGATGCAGCCATTGGCTATTTCTTGCCAATCAGATATGGCCGTGTTAGTGATGCGTGTTATTTTGAGACCAAGGCAGTTCAGGGAATGTGTGCCTTTTCCAAACTCTTTCTTTTGACCTCTGCAATGAAGAAGGTGGAAACACAAGATGGAAGTGTTAGGCAGGAAGCTAGGCATGAGTGACAGGAGGAGGGACCTTAGATGTCCAGACAAAGCACAGAAGACCACCCAGGGACCATCCCATTCCACCCAGTTAGTAGTGGGTAAGTGGTTATAACATATAACATCCTGGCTGAAGAAGAGATACGTTTATTGTGCCAGTTGCACTTATGCAGAAAGTCACCCCTTGTTCTCATTTGACCTCTGTCTTGAGAATAGAAAGAATGCTGCAGTTTCCTACCCCCTGCAGGGATTTTGAATACATTTTTGGAAAGGACATGCCTAGTTGGCTAATTATTATATAATCCAGGCCTGTCACTCAAATGTTGCCATTCGAGGACCCACTCTAAAGAAAAATTTGTATAAACCCCACACCCTGGAGTTTGCAAGGCCTTTTCTCTCTTGAGTGGGCCCACTCCTCCCAAAGAGTAAAACTTTGCCTTACTTTCTTTTTTCTTTTTTTCTTTTTTTTTAGATTTTATTTATTTATTCATGAGAGACAGAGAGAGGCAGAGACATAGGCAGAGGGAGAAGCAGGCTCCAGGCAAGAAGCCCAATGTGGGACTTGATCCCGAGGCTTCTTTCCTTTTCAATCTAACTCTCAGTAACAGAAAAATTCAGGGTTCCTGAACAACTGAACATAGCTGTGTCTCTGCCTCTCCCAAACATAGCTGCGTCTCTGCCTCTCCCATAGCTAAATGTTTGCGTTAAATCACAGGCCAGGTTTTTCAAGGCATTTTGGCTTGTTACCTGTCTCTTTAAAAAAAAAAAAAAAGGTAATGCAGTGCCTGGGTGACTCAGTCAGTTAAGCCACCCGCTCTTGATTTCAGCCCAGGTCATAATCTCAGGGTCTTAAGATCAAACCCAGGGCAGGGCTCCATGCTGGGCTTGAAGCCTGCTTGGGATTCTCTCTCTCCTCCCTCTGCCCTCCCCCCATGCTTGCTCTCTCTCAAAATAAACAAATAAATAAAATGTATGGAAATGATTACAATTTGCTAAGCCAAAAAATTATTGAATGCCTATTATGCATCAGACACAATGGTAAGTATAAAGAGGGGAAGACAATGTAGTCCTATTCAAAAGAGATTCATGGACACATGAATAAAGGGTTGCCTCCCTTTAACCTACAATCATGAATAAGAGTTCAATGGAGAATACCAATTCTTTTTTTTTTAAGATTTTATTTTATTTTAGAGAGAGTGTATGCATGTGTTCAGGGGCAGGGGTAGAGGCAGAGGAAGAGGGAGAGAATCCCAAGCCAACTCTGTGCTCAGCCCCAATGTAGGGCTCGATCTCACAACCCTGAGATCATGACGTGAACCAAAACCAAGAGTCAGACACTTAACCAACTGAGCCACCCAGGTGCCCCCTGAGAATACCAATTCTTATGACAATGTCAAAGGAGTGGAAGAAAACCAAAA